ACATCATATCCCGGTCCTAAACCACCGTACATCATATCACTCTCCCAAACCACTGTACATCATATCACTGTCCCAAACAACTGTACATCATATCCCTGTCCCCAACCACTGTACATCATATCTCTGTCCTAAACCACTGCACATCATATCCCTGTCCCCAACCACTGCACATCATATCCTGGTCCTAAACCACTGTACATCATATCCCTGTCCTAGACTACTGTACATCATATCCCTGTCCCAAACCACTGTACATCATATCCCGGTCCCAAACCACTGTACATCATATCCCTGTCGAAACCCACTGTACATCATATCCCTGTCCTAAACCAATGTACATCATATCCTGGTCCTGAACCACTGCACATCATATCCTGGTCCTCAATCACTGTACATCATATCCCGGTCCTTAACCACTGTACATCATATCCTGGTCCTCAACCACTGTACATCATATCCCTTGTCCTAAACTACTGTACATCATATCCCTGTCCCAAACTATGATACATCATATCCTGGTCCGGAATCATGATACATCAGACCCCTGTCCCAAATCACAGTACGTCAAATCCCTGTCCCAAACCGCTGTACATCATATCCCTGTCCCAAACCACTGCACATCATATCCCGGTCCTAAACCACGATACATCATATCCTGGTCCTAAGCCATGATACATCATATCCCTGTCCTAAACCACGATACATCATATCTCTGTCCTAAACCACGAAACATCATATCCCTGTCCCAAACCACGATACATCATATCCGGGTCCTAAACCACGATACATCACACCCCTGTCCCAAACCACGATACATCATACCCCGGTCCTAAACCACGATAAATCATATCCCTGTCCCAAACGATGATACATCAGATACCTATCCCAAACCACGATACATCATATCCCGGTCCTAAACCAGTGAACATTCTGTCCTGGTCCTAAACCAGTGAACATCAGATCCCTGTCCTATACCAAGATACATAAGATCCCTGTCCCAATCCATGATACATCATATCCCGGTCCTAAACCAGTGAGCATCAGATCCCTGTCCCAAACCACGATACATCATATCCTGGTCCTAAACCAGTGAACATTCTGTCCTGGTCCTAAACCAGTGAGCATCAGATCCCTGTCCCAAAACAGTGAACATCAGATCCGTGTCCCAAACCACGATATATCATATCCCGGTCCTAAACCAGTGAACATTCTATCCTGGTCCTAAAACGCGATACATCATATCCCTGTTCTAAAGCAGTGAACATCAGATCCCTGATCCAAACCACGATACATCATATCCTGGTCCTAAACCAGTGAACATCATATCCCGGCCCAACATCAGTGAACATCATATCCCTGTCCTAAACCACGATACATCATATCCCGGTCCTAAAGCAGTGAACATAATAATAATAATAATAATAATAATAATAATAATAATAACAATATCTCAGCTGAGATGGTGTCTAAGTGTCAATATTACCGTTGCTTTAAAATAACCTTTAAAATGTCGACACCATTCGCCATAGATTGCGTTCCTTTAGTTTTTTATTTGGAGACCCGGGGTAGCATCTGTCCCTAACACCTGGTCGTAAGCGGCGACATGAACGGGCCGTCGGGCACCGGGGGCAACCATCTGATGCATCGAGGTTTTCTTACGATGTCCAGTTTTAACATCAACTCACTCATATATAAAAACCCACCCACAGTACACAGAGAACCTTAAGGAATCAATGTACAAACCTGTTTTTGACGTAAGCCAGACACCGTCTCCAACGACGGGTAGCGACCAGGTACGACAAGAAAGCATGTTTTCCTTTTAAGCTTCCTTTGCCGAATGGGACCCCTGGACGACAGGTGAGTAAATGTATTTACGTCTTGTTAACATTTCAATGTTGATTACGTTTCTCCGTATGGTTCTCCACAGGTAGGAGGTCTGTGGAAAGTTGTCACAGACTGCCAACACAACACATCGTTCACATGTACTTGCTGCATAACCAAGGATGTAGTATTAACAAATACTCTGGTATACTGGTCCATATGAATTCTTATTACCCACATTACTGCCTCATACTCATCTTCTCCTTATGTGAATGACTTTTGACGTTATTCTTTGTCCATGTTTGTTGATATCATGTTTCATATAGACGGATGTATGACAATGACGACCAACATTTTTTTAAAAACATGTCACCTTTTGCATATCATCCTCGATTCCCTTATATATATTACCATTAATATTACGGACCAGCACGCATTTAGCTTCAAGTTTACATTTTCACTCGGTGATCTTGTAAATATAACGTTTGCTTGGAGAGCGGAGGTCGGTGGTTCGAAAACAAAAGACGTTAGAAGATGGTATCATTTTACCCTATTGTTACCCTGCGCAGCGCAAGGCATTAAGGGGATAACACAAGGATTGGTCGGCGATGTGTCTGAGTTGGGTATCCATGTTAACAGGCGACATGGTGTTTCAGTAGGTGAAATTGTATAAGTCTGACAAACAGCCACACACACGCATATGCACTTCTCCATATAAGTCAACTGATCTTGTAAGCGCGAATTTTGCGAAATAAGTAAAATATATTGCGCTGTTGTGTCGATTCATTCTATATATTATCCTACGATCCATCAACTGTTACATCGAGCTCTGGGGTTGCGTCATATTCAGTAAACTGAAATGCCGTTATGTATTTTCATAACTAACTTGTTCTAAACGACGACGACGACAACAACCACACACCTTTTAATGTTAATATTCCAATACTTTATCAAGCTGGAAGCTAAGTGTTGTATCTTTTAACATCTTAAAAATATCTAACTTATCTGCTTGATGTTTTATGCAATCGATATTAAATTTACGCTACATTTTTTTATATAAGATGAGGTGCGGTGAAAAGGAGTTTAACGTGGCGTTCGAGATTATGTCACGTATAAAGCGACGTCCGTGTTTGGGTGTGTAGTCATTGTTTCCTCCCCTTAATGCCGGACGCCAGGCATGGTAACAACAAGTGCCATCTTTTAACGTCTTTTGGTATTACGCGGCCGGGGATGCTCTACCGCGAGACCACGGAGGCGGTCCATTTTTACATGAAACTTTGTGACCTACATGTATGTCATTTGGTCACATGTTGTTGGAAATACTTCCAGACCCGTGAGGGGAGAGTGGAGTAGCTCAACGCATTACACCAGCTGTCACATTTTGAAAACAGCTACTTATTAGGTTATCAGACAGTTGTCAGGCAGTCACCGCCACTGTTACTTTGAGCTGAAATCCAGAGGGGAATCTAGGGGACGCAAGTGTGTAAAAGTAACAATTATTCTCCCGCAGGTAGTTATTGTCAGTTCTAGTGTCTGTCTATGTTATTGTGCTGTCAACTTTCTTTTAAATGTAATTATTGAATTAGTCTTTCAGTTAAGGTCATACTGTTGTGTTTTCCAAATTTGACGCATCAGTATGTATGTATGTATGTATGTATGCATGTATGTATGTATGTAGGTATGTGTGTGTGTGTGTGCGTGTGTGTGTGTTGGTGTGTGTGTGTGTTGGTGTGTGTGTGCGTGTGTGTGTTGGTGTGTGTGTGTTTTTGTGTGTGTGTGTTCGTGCGTGTGTGTGTGCGTGTGCGTGTGTGTTGGTGTGTGTGTGTTTGTGTTTGTGTGTGTGTGCGTGTGTGTGTTGGTGTGTGCGTGTGCGTGTGTGTGCGTGTGCGTGTGCGCGCGCGGGTGCGTGCGTGTGTGCGTGCGTGTGTGTGTGCGTGTGTGTGTGTGTGTGTGTGTGTGTGTGTGTGTGTGTGTGTGTGTGTGTGTGTGTGTGTGTGTGTGTGTGTGTGTGTGTGTGTGTGTTGGTGTGTGCGTGTGTTGGTGTGTATGTTGGAATAGTCATATAGTCGGTCCCTTAGGTAGTAAGTTATGATGTATTTGATACCAGCAGTTAGTAGAAGGCTGAAGTGCGCTTAAAAACACACAGTTAAAGAGTGACTAATACTCGACGGTTCTTCAAGTCAACGTCTTCACATAACAGTATTGTGCCTTAGTGTTTGCCTTAGTGTTATATATAACGGTAATTGTTAACTGTCAGATTGCTATCCATAATAACAAGGAAGATGGTGGACACAAATGTCTGAAGTCAATCTTGTGTGTAAGTACTCCAGGGTCCATCGTGTCAAATCCTTCTCCCTCAGTAAACTAAAGTTCCAGTTGACACCATATAGTCTCATCAATCTCGGTGTCTTGAAATCCTGACAAAATTTGCCCTTCGCTTTAATCATGATCCTCTTAGCTTTTATTATGATCCACTGTGGTATTATGATGGACTGTGGTAATACTATAATCGACTATGGTATTAGCCTTACCCACTATGGTATAATGGTCCACAATATTTTATTTTGATCCACTATGCTATTACCATAATCAACTATGGTATAATGATAAGCCCGAAGTGGTGCAGGTCTCAGGCGTTTACCACTTCGGTGAAACCCACGAGCACGGGAATACTGCAAACAAACCTAGAAACATAAGCGGGGCGAACCGGGATTCGAACCCATCATCATAGGTTTCTGGTGTGCCCAAGGGACGCAACTCTGCACAGCGAATCACGGTGCCTTAGACGACTAGGCCACCTGTGCCCCCTGGTATTACTATGAACGAATATGGTTTTTCTATGATCAATTAGTATTACTTTGATTCACTATGGTAATTCTATGATCCACTATGGCATTACTATGAATCTCTATGGTATAACTATGATCCACTGTGGTATTACTTTGATCCACTATGATATTTCTATAAATGTATGATTCATGTTGTCTGTATCATATCCAAACGATCTGAAGACAATGAAGTACCATAACGATATCGTAACGGTATTTGAATGGACATTAACAAGGTTGCACTGTGAAATGAATGAACTGCATTTGTTCAAGATGGACAACGTCCAGGAATGCATTGGTTTAGTGCATGACACAGAGGATAGATGGAATGAAGGGAAAACAGATCAGTCAGAAAGTTGACATATTTATTTAACATTGGAAATATACAAACTTCCGAACAGACATGGCATAATTGTATAAGTTATTTTGCAGTGCACATTTAACAAATTCATAATTGTTATAGTACATGAAAGACAAATAACTTTGCTCAAAAAACATTTGAAGTAATAGGAGAAATGTGTTTCTAGATGACTCCACCCTTTCCTTTGATTTATTTATTTAAACGACTTCTTCTTGATCATAACAACAACATGAAAACAACCACTCATGGCTCATCTTATCTTACGAAGATTTACTCATATAATCTTTAGACAAATATCTAAAAAATGAAATTTACACAAGTGCATTACATATATAAGATTATGTTTCCTTATTATGATGTGGTTGCGGTGCGGTGACCCAGTGGCTAAAGCGTTCGCACATCACGCCTAAGACCCGGGTTCAATTCCACACATGGGTACACTGTGTGAAGCCCATTTCTGGTGTCCCCCGCCTAGATATTGTTGGAATATTGCTAAAGGCGGCGTAAAACCATATTCATGGATCAATATGCTACCCATACCCCTTTTGGCATGAAAGGTTCAAATATACATATATGTATAATACTGTACACGCTTATGTATTGGAGACAATTTGTACAATATTTCACCTTGCATTGAGATAGTTTGGTATAAAACAGGTACGTTTCTTTGCTGTGTTTGCCAAAATGTAGAACAGGTCTTTAACAAATTATAAATACACTACCTGTATTTACGCTGATTAACAGATGATATACCCCTGCATCAGACTGTGTTTTTTTGTCTGGAGTTGGCAATAAGTAAAAGATGTCATATTCAATTTCCATTTAAGCAAAGGATTTATTAATGATTTAATGTTATCACAAATACAGGAGCACACTCCCTTGAGCACAGACGTATTGAACGTATAAAGTCTTAACTGGAGACAAAGGCAAACAACTTTCATAACAAATAGTGTCATATTAAATTAACAAACAAATATGTACAATTGTTGGATATACACGTGATGGCTATTGTCAGAAATCACAGATCACAGAAAGGTATGTTCCCTATTGTATCATTTTTCTGTTAGTCCTGCTTTGAAAGTGGTACAATCTGGGACAGCACAGTTCAGACAGAGGGTTTCGCACGATACATTACAAATGAAAGATGGGTAGTGTACAAATCATTAGAACGTCATTGAATGATGTATCATCAATGAATTGTCTGGATAACATTACTTTCGACAAGGAAATGGTGTGTCGATAGTTCTGAGCATACGAAATAAGCAAAGGCAGGTTGATAACTGTAAGAACTATTTACAAACATAAGCACAAGAAACATATTACAAATCGTTATCCACATGAACAAGGGCGATAGTTTCCAAGAAAATACATGTCGTTATAGTCGATTATTCGACATCTTCGACAGTTTTCTAAACTGCATGCTTAAAAAAAGACCAGAGCTGACGTCATGGGTAGATATAATGCCTAGTTTGAGTTCTAAGCACATATATACATACATATCAACTGTGGAAGGAAGACGAATAACTATTGTTTAACAAACATGACATACAAATTTGGTTTCAGATTTCATAAATGCTTTTCATTTTCTTGTCTTATCATTAATTAGGCACTTAATAAATCGTTAGTCATACAAAAATAGAATTCATCCGGCAGGAATAGGGAAAGGCCCGCTGGCCTGTTCGTCTGAAAAGAAATACGCTTGCAATAACGTCTAATATTCACAATTTGAGCAAATGACAGCTATCACATATTCACGTAGTGGGTAGAAATATATAAATATTAACCAGCAAAACACAATGTCCGACACAAACTGGGTTATTTTACAACACGTCATGCCTACGACAAATTAAAGGGACCAACCATTTGATTTTCAGGAGTGGGGACTAGAATATTTTTCAATTACAGCTACAAAACCAGATATTTTTTTAATTTATCACTGACGTATTTACGTTGTGATGTACATGCCTTGTGTTACTTGATTGTAAGGACGGGAGAACCGGAGGCTATAGAGTATAGTAATGTGTGTTAAAAAGTCGTTTGATATGTTGTACGTTTGAAAGGTAAAAGAGGTTAAGGGTAATTAAAAAAACCAACATCTTTATATCTTTGGTTTGGGAGTATGTAATCTCGCAAGCGGATGATATAAAACATAACAAATCACCAAACAAACATCATGTGTATAACATCACCAGTAAAGGCAAACAAATACGTCACACGTGACACATATATAGAATACGTTTATGGACAATATTTGTATATGCGCTCTGTTCACTTTCTTCTAGATTTTATAAACAGGCCACCAACGCAAACGTACCCTTAATTCCCACATTAACAATAAAATCAGTTGCATCCTGCAGTGTTCTGGGAACCAAGTTCACCATCCCCTGGGGTGTTATTTCGTGCATTTAAGTGTTTTATGAAAACAATTAAAGTGAATGTAGTATTCTGAAAAAAAATAAAAATTCAGCGACCAACCATTTTTCACTTGTGTGTTGGGCATATTGATGGCATAGTTTTTGAAAGAAGTTATTTTGCCCCAAAGAGAAAAAGATATCAATGAATTAGTAGACGTACTGTTTTTTTAATGTATAATTACTTAAATCTGTTATATAATTTTATAATTTCTGCACATGCACCTACATGATGGGTCGTTAATATCGGAGGAAGCGGACTGGGAAACAAATGCTTAATGTTTTTCATCTAGATACTTGAAACAAAAAAAACTGTTTTTGAACATATCAAACGAAAAGATGTTAGTAGTTTCTGACGCAAATAATGTCCTTGCAATTCTTGAAGAAGCTTGTGAAAGTGCACGACGCCGTCTGTCACCAGTTAATTACGACACTGACTGGGGTTAGTATACATGCAGGTTTACTTTCTACCTTCAGAGCAAGCTTACACCACAGATACATTTGCATATTTGATAAACGTGTATAAGGCAAACATCACAATATATGGCAAGGGATTCACATTTCAATGTAGGGTTCATACACCACTGGTCAACGCAGGAAGGGGGACACCTTCCCTCCTGCAAACAATAACAGTTTTCTATCAACCATTTCACCCTTTACGCATTTCTGCAATAGGTTACCATTTTCTTGCTAGTATTCCTATTCACATCGTCCTCTAACAGATCTCTTCAATAACATCATGCACTAAACATGACGACCAATCACAAGAATGATGAGCGCACATTGCAGTAACAGTGTCGAGATTATTCACAACCTTAGCCCTCCGTGTTTTCTGTAATACTGTCCCGCGCTCGCTTGCCGTGCTTCAGCACATCCAAGTGTTTGTTGATGGCGCTGATATTGATGGCCATATCATTTTGGACTGTCTCTCGCGTCCGCCATTGGTTTAACATTTCGTATCTGAAGCTGGATATGTCCTGCTTGATCTCTTCGAAGTCATCTGTAAAAGATAACGTGGGCGGGTTAGTGGGCTGTGTCTCATTTATATATTTTCTTCTCATGATCAGATTAATGTGGAAACAACACTTTGGGACCAGGGTTATAATAACCCCCCAACGTTTTATTGCTTAACGTAAGAACTAGTCGGGTTGTCAGAATCGGTGACATGGTTTATCACGGGTACCGAAGCGTGAGTCTTGTTCACAATATATATCCACCACTGTTTTGTCGGGCTCAGTGTCGATTAGTTACAGACTGCGGGGGAAAACAATGAACGAAACATAAATAAAACGTTCGAGGGAGGTGCCATGGGACGCAGGTCGCGGACTTTTTACTGTTAGGTAAATCCCTCAAGCACGGTGATCATGATGGTGCTGACTGACAAATATCAAAGATAGGTTCCTTAATATTCTAGGTCGGATCGTTGTGACTTCTTGGACCCCAAGACGTTCATGATTAAATTCTTGCAATTTTGTCGGATGCGCAGGCAAACCAAACAACACGAAACCGGCGATTTCAATACCACGCTAAAGAAAAAGAGTAACTGGTCGTACGGGCCGTTTAGGAACAGCAAAGATCGAGTACATCATACAGTTTGTCATCGAAATTCATGAATGTTCAGATAAAAGAAAGCAGATCTACTTCTGTGGTTATACATATAAACTGTATTTTCTTCACTCACTGTCCATACGTGCTTAATGTATTTTTACACGAAGTTTATTAGAACTGAGTTATATGAAGAAATTCAAGCTTTATACTTCTGCTTTTTGCGACATCGTCCAATGCACTAAATCCAGGTGGCTAAGCATATCATGGACGGCTGATTATATATTCTTGTTGATGAATTTTATTCAGGGGTGACCAGCCAAAACCCAGTGTTTGTGAAATGAAAATGCACGATTCTGCTATATTAACATATCAACTGGAGATATCGTTAATTGCAAAACATATCGACTCACCTTCCGTAACTTCAGCTTCTCTTTGGATATCGAAGATGTAGCGCTGTATGATTCTCTGAATGACCTTCTGTAACAACAATGCAGATTGATATCAAATCTTGTGTTCCACAATGCAGTAAAACCATTCGCTGACTGGGCTGCGTGTAGAGGGGACAACTTTAAGGGCCAAGAGCTGATGATGAGCCTGACTGTGCCAGGATCACCCAAACCCTCTACGCCTCATTTTTTTAATTTTAATCTGTAAATAATGATAATCATGGAAAATCATGGAAAATGATCAATACAAACTTCTTTGGAATAGGCCCATTTACAGCCTCAGACGTATCCAGGCCAACAAACCTGATCTTGTCCTTTTTGATAAATCCAATGAAATCATTTATATCATTGAATTTTCTGTCCCCTTTGACACTAATGTGATTGACAAGACTGAGGAAAAACATGGCAAATATTTGGACCTCGCTTTCGAAATGTCACGCTTGCACCCCAAGTACCAAGTTGTCCGACTCCTCATTGTTCTCGGTGCCTTAGGTTTAGTACCCCCCAATCTGTTGACTGACATTGGGAGAGTACCCGGGTTGGCTACCATGAATACAGCACTTCTGACAACCTGGGTAATGCAGAAGGCTGTAGTGTTGGGGAGTCTGCACATTCTCCGATGACACTTGCCTGATAAGAGAGCTCTTCTTTGTTGCCCTGTGACATGACGTCATCAGCGACGCTTGAAGCATTTCCTTCCAAGCCATTCCGTGCATTACCTTCATGCATCTCTACTGCAGTAGCGTCACATACAGGGTTCGGCGTCTGTCAACATTAAGAAGTACAATGTAAACACAATGTGAGAGGTCATTCATGTGATAGCTTGAAAAAATAGCTACAAAATGCTCTCATTTCACCACAATATTAATAGCTCAGTTATGCTGACATGTTGATTGTCACATGAGAATTTGCTAAACATACAATGTGATAAAGTTTTATTGTTGATTATCAGTACTTTTAAAATTTTGTTTGTTACGTCTAAGGGTTCACACAATCAGAAACCTAAGCAAACAATGCGTCGTGTCTTCTGTTCCGAATGTGACCCTAGTATCTGGTTGCAAAGCCAATTCAACGAAATCAAACGAGAAACGTCATATGCAGTTTATTTTCCTGTAAATATGACTCTAATATGTAATATCTATTTATGCAGTAGCTGGGACACTCTTGCAGATAATTGCTTTGAACATTTATTGCCGTGCATCCAATTTCTTCCTCAGGCTTTACTGACTTGGTTTTACATCCTGACAAGCAACATGAAGTTTTATACATGTTTCCTATTCAAAGAACCTCGGAAACATACAACATAATCGCTTCGAAATTCCAAGAATACATATTATTGTAAAATGCATATTTTCATATGTGATAGCTTTCCAGTTATATAGTTTCAGAAAATCTAGTTTCCACAGAATATTATATGCATGACATGCACGGATAAAATATATAACTTTTAAAGCAATGTACGACATACCTGAGAAGCCTTATATTTTGGTATTTAACTGGCATAGGTTCGAAATTTCTATAACGGTTGCAAATGCGAAAATGTCGCAAATACATTAAAAAGGTTAAATACTTTCTTATTCTTCCAATATATTATTTCTGAAAATAGATTACAACATGACATTGTGTTGTGATAAGTTTAAAAGGAGAGGTCCAAGTCAGGTTCTAATGTTAATGTTGTCCGTGATCATGAAAATATAAATTAGCAATAAGTAAATTTACAAAGAAATAAGCAATGAATGTTAAAACACGGAACTTATATAAGAGAAATACCGCTGCAGGAAATTGGCATATTTCCTCATTAACGACAAAATGGTAGGTATAGTGGCGTGCTTTAATTTCACGCAGCAGTAAATCAGTACATGTTGTAATTGGCAAGAAAACGCAGTTTTCGGATTAAAGGGGTTTAACTATTTTTCACTGAATAAGTATTCTGACTGCGTGAAGGTATGCGAATCGTAACTTCCAGATAAACATCGTTTTGGTCTTGCTTGCATTCTATTGTGGTCGATGCACGTGCACATCCGTTCACAGCAGTAGAGTAGAAAATGCCGTTCTTTACCACCAGGGTGGTGTTCCATTGAGCTAAGTGAGTTATCTTAACTGTCAGTCACTAGACAGCGAGGGCATATTTCAAGTCTAGGCCTCCAAGAGTCGCAATTCAAGCGAAGAATTCTGAGAATTGAAACGTGGCACTTCTGTTTTCATAATCTGGACTGAATGGAATGCCTCCAACCAACGGCACAAACCGAGCTGATACACCTCTAGTTTCCCCCAGAACAACTTGCGAAGGACTCAATATAGACACGGGGGTTATTTTGGGGTGATTTAGGAGCAACATAAACAAATATTGCTACTTTTATCAGCAAGCTGATTCGGAATTCGGTGTCCCGAGACAGTTCAGACGAGCCGGAAACTAACACCGATCATTTTCCCAGAGCGTTTGTCAATCAAAGATTTCCCTCCTAGTTCGACTGTTTAAATTAGCTCGCTATTTTCAGGGAAATAGAAGACAAAGTTGAAACAATCTATCATAAAAAGCGTTCCGCGAATGTTCAGAATTTGCTCTTCGGTACAATGTTTTACACTAATCAAGTCATCAGCCCTTTGCCAATTCGTCACAACATAGCCTCTTTAATTTGCAGATGTTGAATAACTATGCTGGATCCATCCATCAGCGCCAATTATGTAACTGCGCCAGGTCCCACTGCTTGTGCGCTATAGCAAATGACAAACGAGGGACTTGATTTTATCGGAGAATTTGTGATAGGGGTTGTATGAAACAATGATGTTCGGAAACAAATAGGTGTAGAAATGTGATACTCATGCTAATATTCTTTCTTAAATGCCATAAAAAGTGATATTGTTTAACACTATGATGTCGGATAACGTTTTCCAGCAAAACAGATTAGTGTCTTGTTAACATATTAATAATTAGGAGATAAAAATATTGTTTTCAATGTAGAGCTTGGTCACCTGTAGATTTAATCCCTATATACTGAATTTTGAAACCGAACGCTTAGCGTGAGGTTTCAAATGTTATATTAAGCGCAGTTAAATCTACAGGTTACAAAGCTAGCTTTACATTGAAAACACAATAGTTGCATCTCCATTCTATCATGACCGGTTTAAGATCACTGATCACAATACTCATTGTTATTGTTTCAATCGTTGATCTTAATGCTTATCTTTCTTGTGTCAATCATTGATCACAATTCTTATCTTTATTGTTTCAATCATTGATCACAATACTTATCGTTATTGTTACAATCGTTGATCACATTACTTATCTTTATTGTGTCAATCATTGATCATAATACTTATCTTTATTGTTTCAATAATTGATCACAATTCTAATCGTTCTTGTTTCAATCGTTGATCGTAATACTTATCTATATTGTTTCAATCGTTGATCATAATACTTATCTTTATTGTTTCAATCATTGATCACAATTCTCATCGTTCTTGTTTCAATCGTTGATCGTAATACTTATCTATATTGTTTCAATCGTTGATCATAATACTTATCGTTATTGTTTCAATCATTGATCACAATTCTCATCGTTCTTGTTTCAATCGTTGATCATAATACTTATCTTTATTGTTTCAATCATTGATCACAATTCTTATCTTTATTGTTTCAATCATTGATCACAATACTTATCGTTATTGTTACAATCGTTGATCACATTACTTATCTTTATTGTCTCAATCATTGATCATAATACTTATCTTTATTGTTTCAATCATTGATCACAATTCTCATCGTTCTTGTTTCAATCGTTGATCATAATACTTATCTTTATTGTTTCAATCGTTGATCACAATACTTATCTTTATTGTTTCAATCATTGATCACAATACTTATCTTTATTGTTTCAATCATTGACCGCAATTGTCATCATAGATGTAAAAACGTATATTGTTCGCATTCTGTAGAACAATTTCTATACACTTACACACTGGAAGGAAAAGTTTGAACAAAAATGTTTTTTACACCAATAAGTGATGCAACATCAGTTTCCCAAGAACTCGAGCCTTTGAGAAAAATAAATAAAAATATGTCTGTTTAAGAGACAAAAAAATCTAAAACCAAAAAATAGAGTTCTATTATCAGACAGGATGAATTCCACAAATTCTATTACTCTACCAACAACATAACTAAACGTCGCAGCACCAGGAAGCTCTTTACATCAAAATACTTGTGGAAATGGATGGAATCTGAGAGTAGTATGTACCATCTAAAGTAGCGATTGCGTTACCCATCCCTCAAACAAAAACACACGGCCGTAGAAGACACCCAGAAGCGTTAAGATAACCCTTCAGCAGTGTCGAGATAAACCTATCAAGTTTGGGAGATATCCTTTACCACAAACGTATAAGTAGTACTGTATTCGTTTTCTTATGAATGGGTTCAGCAGTGAAGGTTTCCGAATGAAGAGCCAAAACGCAACGGTTTATTTTTAGTCTGCGACAGATCTAAAGTTGGTTTGCCGCTATTTACGTGTTATCAGTTGCTCGATGTCTTGCACTATGAGTGATGTTCTTGACGGGGCGTCCATGCCGAACTGCATACTTTTCCTCCCCCGACAGAATCACGCGCTCCGCTACACAGGAACGCGGAAAGACATGGAACTACAGGCACCGTGCCAGGGTAAGCACACGTTGATTTGTTTACGAGATATCGTTACGTGTTCGGGTCCTTCTGCTAACCTTCGCGTCGAAGCAAACACAAAAACTGTACTTTATGCTTGAATATATATTTACGAAGGTGTATCTACATGTGGGTACGGAAGCTGTCCAAACACAAATAATAAGTATACAGCGATGAAATGAGCAGATTACATGAACGTGTCTTATTTGACTACTATTCTGTGGTATAATCACTTTGGCTGATCTTTGTGTAAGGCTGCATTAGCCAAGTAATGGTTTTTTAAATGATAGGAAACAATGCGCAGTCACACGCCACAATGATAATCTTGTTCAGTATCCATATCACACTGATCTGGTTTAATCTCATCGGTGGAAATATGGCCGTGGTTAAACATGTGTATATACGCTGTAATCTTATAGTATTATAAAGTTTTCATTGGATTCCGGAATATCAGAAACGAACCGTCAACGATACTAAATAAAAACGTCTGCGATTTTGGCACTGAAGCGCTTGGGAATACATGCTGATGAATGAAGGTGGTAATTCATGCTGAATTGTGTAGAAAGTTCAAAGAAATGAAAAAAGCAAAATAATAATGACAAATGCTTTACAATGCGAAGGCAAGGCCTGGTAACAGGTCTGAAATTTGAACAGTATAAGCTTTATTTAAGACTACATGTAAAATTTGGTGTTGAAAAATGAACAGTTAAAGGCACATTTCAGTTTGATAGGCCAGGATAAGCACCATGAATACGAATGAACAAAATGATGATTGAACCAAAGTTAATACTATCCCTATGGTTACGAAGTACACCAACCAAGGTCATAAAACTACTTGAATAAAAAAAACCTATAACTTATAAATAAATATAAATGCTTCCTACGTAATATACTAGTATACATACGTGTTTGTGGCACTTGTATAATATCGTGTTTTTTTAACCCTCTACTGCTTCCGGGACAACAGTTGATTAATTCTTGTGATTTCTGGGAACATCTTGGGTTAGTTCTTACTGGCATTCCCAAAATGCTTAAGTTGTTGACTAATGCGTCTAACCATAGGTAAGATTTATTCACCTACCCCTAAATCTACTGCGTCATTTTGAAACCTTGATCTTTTCATGGTGCCTTTGTCTGACGAGCATTTACATGGACAGAAGATGGACGTGAAGATGCTTCTTGGGACCTGCAGGAGATTGAGAGGAACTGGGAGAGTGAAGACGTCAAGGATATAGTCCATGTACAGGAGACTTCTCGCAAACTTCCACTGAACATCTGCATCTTCCTGAAATATAAGAATACCTTATTATATATTAGAATAGAGTCGTGAAATTTGTATGTTATGATACCAGCGGAGACATTTTGTTTCAGACACCCTCAAGCCATGTGTGAAACATTGCCAATGAAATGTCATTCTCACTCATGATGAACAAGGATAGTCTGTTAGAAGTTTCATTGTTGCAGGTTATCACCACAGTCATAATCCTAAGTTTAATAATGGATTAATCCTAATGGGACCCGTCGAATCCGAATGGCAAGCTTCATCTATAGTCACAGCATCGTATATGAATACATGGATCTTATGTCTTGTGGATATTATGAAAGATTGATCATACGCGATACAAATGTGAAGTAATATTTACATTCTGCAGATGCCTTGGGCAACCGTGACAAATCGAAATGTAAACTCAAACTTGTAATATAACAAGCGCATAATATCATGTCTTGTATTATTGACACAAACCAAATAAAACTAATGCATTAAAAATAATGCCTAAACAGAGACATGATACAGATTTCTTCCAGATCTTTTCATAACGAATACCACTGTAAGCCATATTCAGATAATTAATCAGAAGCTTTCTTTATGCGTTTGAATCAAAATCATATCAATTCAAACAAAGTATTGTTTAATCTTTCAAACACAGCATCGGTCCAAATTATGGATATCCACTACCGCGTACCCTGGAGAGAATATTAATAGGAACTATTACGTATATGATTTCGAACTGCTGATAATATACTTCACGTAGCATGATATCCACGACTGAAAGGTCATATAAAAGAATGCATTTAATTGTTCACTCAAACTGAAGGTTTGTAATTTCATCTGACACCATGACCAAAAGCAGTTTTTTTAACAAACTAAACAATCAGATAAAAAGAATTATCTTACGGCAACGTCTATACTGTAAGAATTTCTTAAATAAAAGTGACAAAACCATTAACGTTATAATCCACGCCAAGTCAGACAGCAGTGACATATACAAGGCCTCACATTAAACATTAGCGTGTGACGATAACGTTAAAGACAGTACGTACCGCAATATTAGTGAATGATCTAGTCATCATAGCGATGAGCATGTTGAGCAGAACGGTGACCATGGCGATGTTGTAGCTGCCGTAGATGAAGTAGCCGATATCCTGGGTCAACGTATGGTTGTATTCACCTAGTTGTACTGCCCCGGGTTCCCCTCGACCAAACAGGGACCAGAAGACAGTTCGGAAAGTCGCCATTACACTGCGAAGGTAAATGTATAAATGGGATGATGTCAATGTTCTTGAAGAACAACAGGTGGCAAAAGGTAATGTCATTTTCCAAACTCTTCAAGAACATCACCCAGAGCCAGAAGGACATGGTCCTGGATGGGGCAGTGTACTACTGTGGTCTGATTCTCCAGATTATTCTGTGCCCTGGACACATTTGTTACCATAGCTTTCGATAGTAACGACACAATAGCCACCTCCCTCCCCAGCATTTCTCTTCAAAGTGAAAATGATGTCATTTTAGTCAAATTAAAAACGAAGCTATGGCATATTTTATTTGAACAAAATACTAGAATGATTAATCGAGGATATATTAAATCCACAGAGAAAAATATCAACATCAGCAGCACATATATAATGATGTACAGCGAAAAGCCAAAATTTTCAAATTGATCGGATCTGTTTAGCAGATTAGCTTAAATTATTTGCTCATATTCTTGGGAATATAAAGAATGTTTTGTTGTTCATTTCTATTCTATTTTGTCCTATATGGCGAATATGCGAAACACATAACAAACGAACTTTTCAATCCCTACATAGATATGTTTCAACATACGAGACTACATTCGAAATTAGGACTTATAACTGAGTACTTGTAATTCTTAATTGGCAAAACAAATTGTCCGAAATCTATATCCAGCGGATTTTCTAACAATGTATTCTTTAATTTCTGTTCTTACTCGAATTGTTTTAAGAGTATTTTATTTATTAGTTAATCATGATCGTTTGGTCGATGAGTAGAATGAACATGGTAGTCCACGATATTTTTATGATTCATACACTGATTTTAACTTGCTTGAACTTCCAAGAAACACCATGAAAATCAGGAGCTCTACCTTTTCTGTATAAACGACAACGATCATTTCCTGTACAACGTGTAACTTTACATGTACACTGAGACGTGGTTAAACTGAACAACATAAATTTAAATTGCGTGTTACAACAAGAACAAGAGTCCGGTTAGGCGAGATTTGAACTGAAAAAGAAAGTTCAACTGTTGAATCATCAAAAGATCGTTCAGTGCAGTCGTGAAAGTTGTGTTTTCGTGACTGCTATACGTGTCTGTTTCTAAGCATGTTTGACATCTGATTTCACCTTTCAAGGAACACAGGAAACATTTACCAGCAATTTTTCTCGCTGCGACAGGATTTGCGAAAGGTGAGAACGCGAACGCCGCCTTAAAAAGGCGTAACCTAGGCTTCAGTTTACATAAGGCATTCCACTAGATCAGTGTTCAAACATGCGTCCGTTTGCATGAGCATCTTCCCCATTGACCCCTCCTTAAGATAAATACATATTATTGTCTGGGATATTAGGGTAGCGCTCCTTGTGACCCGGACCTGGGTTAGACGCATTTCTTGCACTGGCTTTGTATAGTCAGACTGAGGAAAACTGAGTGTGAGTTTTGGAACATGAAACTGCCAACAGATTTGAGATGGAAAGTGATACCAGCGTTGGACTTAACTATCCACATATTTGTGATAACGACTGACACATTTCTCCAGACAAATCAGAAAAAAAGTTATAACTTTGTTTTTTTTACGATATGAAATGGGAGATAAATAATACTTATAAAAATGGAAAGCTGTGAGGGTACGGTCATACATCGTTGCACCCTAATCCCCATATGTGACAAACTGATCATTCCACCAACAATCCCAACCTCAAACCCTACCCCTACCATTTATGTCCGACATTCATCATTCATTTGAAAGAAAATACCGATTGACCTATTCTGCTTTCTGCATTCCCAAGTTTGGAATAGGACAGCGTAGGTTTATGCGAACATCTCAACGTAGATGACCAGCGAAACATTATGTAATGCATCACTTCAACTGTGCGTGTCACCAGAAAATAACGCAAAGCAGATGCTATCAGATGTATTTGTTCGTGAAATTGAAGCAAATGTTCTGACACTCACTCTCCAAAACTCTTCTCGGCATTGACGGTAAAATTGCGCTGCACCACCTCAATGTCGTGACGGGAGCTGTAGTACCAATACAGGTTATGCAGGCCGACCATGAAAGCCAGGATCACTACTGAGAACAGGGCCAAGAACTTCAGAATGTCCTGCAAGGAACAACAATGATACACGTGCATGTGCATTTTTAAGTCTGGAGGTGGTCGGCGAGGGAATGAATAACCCTCACATACAACAACTGGAACTGGAACTCGCGACCAGAAACCAATGAATTCAATGTTTTCTTCACTTGTTATTTAAAATGCTGTGAAAGTGTGAAAGCCTCGTATTTTCTTTTGACTTTGCTTTGTTCGACAAATAAACCTATTCTTTTAGTTTCTCTATGTAGATGTTATAGTCACATCATTAATTGGAAATATTGTTTTTTAACGTAATTGTTCAAGATTCTGTTGTAGCAATGCAATACCCATCTTAATAACCATTTAAGGCAATCGTTGAGTGAGTGAGTGGTTTCGGTCAATACCAAAAAACAATACCATAGCCTGATAGGAAAAACGTTCTCAAACATTATGCCATCAAATTTGATGGATGTTTGTCAACTTATAAAAATACATGGAATATTGCTGTGTCAACTGTAATCAATACATAATCTTAAAATCTATTACATCATTATTACATTGATAAATTGAATGTGATGTTTCTTCAGCCTCGTGAAGCATGTCAACTTTGATTACGAAGCTGCAATCTATAGCAGTGTTCATCTTTGTTAATAACCTTGAGTAATGAAACCAGTCCGTGTATGACTGTCATTACTTCAAGGTTAAAGAAATGAATGAATAGACGTCAACGATTTCTTATATTTTGCAAGATAACAAGTGATTATGTAGACTTATACACGCGTTTAAAGAACCAAATACGTGACTCTCAACAGGGAATTGAATGCAGTAGGATCCACGTGTCGCCCACTCACAGATTATTCGCTCCATCAGGGCTAGTGGACAAAGAAGATATGTGCTAAAAAACTTCAGGTGATTTTATTATCTTTTGAAATATTCTCCTTTTTAAGCTTGAGGAGGATGTCTTGACATAAAAAATATGAAGGACATTTCAAGTTTATATTTCTTATTGAAAAATCATAATAATGTTTCAATTACAACAATTCGTCAAACGTTACATACAAACACATCGATCACAGCGGCGTGTTTTGGACAAATTATTTGCCAGTCACATTTGACGGAAGTCTAAATGAGAGTCATTTTGATAGAAATAATATACAATCTGAGAATGACATCTGACAACAATTACGTCAATCTCTATTCATACACTGAAGTAGTCAGAAAAAATGTTAATGTTTATTTGGTGTATTTGTCTTGTTATAACTTGATCAACAACAAGATGTCATACATAGTTAAATAAGTTTCCGAAATTGTGGAAAAGTCAAACATAATCCCCAAAGAAGATGCTGGCTGAAGGTTCTAACTACATCATAAACAGATGAAAGAAAAATTGGAATTTAAAAATTGTTCGTCCATCTGTGCCCCATCCTTTCCATCGCACACTTACGCACTCTTTATTTAACGATGTTTATTCAATTTATTTGTTATTGATCTGAAAGAATGAGAGAAACACCTAGTTCCTTTTTGTCTGTGTTTTGCCCATAAAGAGCTCGGTTACTTCTCAAATTAAAGGTGCTCTTACAATTCGCTTTTTTTGCCATAAATATTTAAAACTACATTGTTTGGCATTTGAAAATGATCCGGCTGAAGAAGTTCTTTTTATTTGGTTAAGCCTATCTGCACTATCAAGTTCATAATGTTTGTATCATATTTTACTATTCATGTGTTAAAATCGGCCTTGTGCTTGATGGTACTGCCCACCTTGTCAAGGTGTTTTCTTCCCGAAGGTTGGATCACGTACAAGGGGATGCGGGGATTATTTATAAACTGTTGTCTCAAGGAACGGCCACCTGCGTCTCTTTGTTTTTGCAATGCTGGGTAATAAAGCTCACCCCCTCATGCTTGTGTTGTTCAACGAGCTTGTACATTGTACGTCGATTATGTGGAGGACGCAAGGGAAATATGCTGTGATGACTGTGTGTGATCACTCATCAAACACTAGAGTCTGTTCCATGGTTTTGTAATTGCTCGTTCAGTAAGAGCTCGCCTACCAAGGCTTGATCTATACCAAATAATAATAATAATCAACTAGTGTTCTTAACATTTCAAAGAAGAAAGTTGATTTAGAATACATTCAATGTCAGTTCCTTTCATTTTTCGTGGTTGCCCCCAAATGGAATTGCCATCTTTCGATTAATCACACTTCGTGCCACAATCGAAAGACGATTCATCTGCCTCGGAAGATATCTACATTTGGAAGATTTCAGAAATGACAACATGATGTGAACTTGCAGAGCCGGTAATTTCATATTCTGGAGGGTCCTGCGATTTTGTATTCCCCAAAAGATAAAGTTTTCGCTGGACCTATTTTTTAGATTTTGTCTCGCACCAAACCCCCACCCATACCACCCACCCACCACCCACACCCCGATATCAAATGAGGTGTCCTTTTATACGTTGGCGTCTTAGATGAACCATATTCTTTAACAAACGTAATGATGAGAATCGGTTTTTTAGATGACCCCTTACCTTTATCATCCTGCCAAGGGAAATCTGTAAGGGCCCGAGAGTCTCGTTGGCGGGGAGAAGGTACGAGATGCGAGAAAAGCTTAGAATATTCCCCACAGCAAACATGCCTTCCGCTAAATTGATGGGGTCGTACACGTTCCAGTACATCCGGTCTGGCAGGAAGAAAAACAATCATATATCATAAAATGATTGAAACACAATACAACTGTAATGGTTAATGTATAAGTGAAATTAATTTACTCTCCCTTGCCATTGCTGGAATCCCAAGAGCATTTTGTAGAGTAGAGGTGTGTTAATGATCTAGGCTTTTCATTCTCATCAGTGATGTTATTGTACAATGGGACAAACGTACTGACATTACGTTATGAGCTTTGGGGGATTTCAGCAAATGTTCGAATGACGAAGTATTGTTAATCTGCCGGTATCGTCCCCAGATTACAAAAAAATCGGATTAATGTATCTTAAGTATGTAGAAATGCCCCTTTACATAATAAAACAATCTAAAAACTGTCCATAATTAATAGCCCGGAAGGCAGGAGTTTCGGAGTTACGGGGTCCGTATAAGCGGGGTTTCAGTGTACATAGACGTGGTACTGATAAAGTCGTGTTATGTGTGAAACTTATATGGAAACATCGATACATATGTTAAGGTGAGCTTTAATCATTTCGTATAGAAACATATTTTGTGTCGCATATTTGTAAAATGTTCAGTAAAATATCTCACTTTATTGTCTCAATATATAGTGAAATAACTATGTACCTTTACGATCCAACGCATGATACTAATACTGATACGGAATACTAATACATCAAACTAATATCTGATATCGGCACTCCACACATCCCGAGCAACGGATAACGTGCTGTATCTTTGATGGTCCGTCGGGGTTCGAACTAAAATTCACCAAAGATATAGTGACCAGTAAACAAGATAACGACACCTTGTTTGGTTTAGGTTTAAACTTAGCTCATGTTCTGACGAATCATGTGTTTAGTTATACGCCCAGTTCCGTACAAATTCAGGAACGCTGCTGACACCACTGTTTAGGGATCGTTCACATTCATAATATATTCAACTGCCCAGTACAATGGTTGTATGTAAATCAGTCACACATTTAGCTCTAATGAACTTTCGGCTGGATATAGTTAAAGTTGCTTTAAAACGTATATCAGTATTATTAGGTCGTCGATGTATACATAAGCACTCTGCTAAGCCACACTGGTACAGACAGACCGAGGATCATAACAGGCACTGCTTTGCACGGTAAAAGGACGTAACTTTTCACAGATGGACCACCCGAGAACCATTCTACCTTTTGGGCTGTGAGTGTCGTGTTTGCTCTGAAGAACAATCACAAAACAATCCTTGTTGGCCATGTGCTACTTTCGTCACTTTCTTATCAAAGTATTATACGCTTTTTTCGAAAGATTTCTTTCCATCTAAAATATATCACCCTTGATCTAGACACAGCTTCAGCGATTACTTGCTTCCGACATAACATGTTTCTGGTTATGGAGCACACAACTGGATGCGCCGAAGTGCGGAAATCCAGACTGCTGAGAGACTTGGAGAAACCGCTAGTCTGTAAATATCTTGTTAATTTGTAGCCACGTGAGATTTCACGAGCTCGAGATCCGGCCCTCGTTCGGAAGTACTCTTACATCCTGCTTGAGATTATATCATTTTAACTCGCCCGTAGCAATCTTCTTTTAATATTAAGAACTGATATGATATATTTAGACTTATTTTTGATTGAAACTTGCTGATTTGGCGATTTGTTTTCCCTCTGATGGTGCTCCAAGCATATCCACTATATTCCCGCAGGGTATATGGACAGCAAAAACATACAAAGGGGTTATGATTTGTTCATACATGTACGGTGTTAAAGTCACATTAAGAATTAACCCGGGGTAAACATGTAGGTTAATACACGTGTGATGACAACATGAAATAAGTGCGTGCGTGCGTGCGTGCGTGCGCGTCTGCCTACCTGCCTGCGAATGTGTGTATGTATGTAAGTTAGCTATAGGGAATAACGTGTTCAAAGTTAGTCTCTCCCTATGAGGGTGGTCGGGCTGCCTTAGTGGTTAAAGCGTTTGCTCGTCACGCCGAAGACCCGGACTCGACATTGGTACAATGTGTGAAGCCTCTTTCTGCCCCCCTCGTCGTGATATTGCTGGAATAGTGCTCAAACCGGCGTAAAACCATACTCACTCACTCATTCACTTTACCTATGACAGCTTTGTTACAACCCTTAATGTAAAAAATACTCTTGATGTAAAATAAAATACATTACGGGTTGCGGGTTAACAGATAGGAACAGATAATATTTATTTTACATTAAGGGTTATCACTATGAAATAATACTTATCGAACATTCATGAAACTTCGAAGATTTAATTGATCGTTACTTTGTCTAGATGTGCAAATGACTAATCATTTTAGATAACCTCTCTACAACGACCACCTGGTTGCTATATACAGGCTTTTTAAAAGGGTTTATAACCCCTAACCCTTTAAACCGATTTCTTTCAAAGTTACTGTTATACAAAGGTTATTTTTCGATACTCTGCAAGGTAACCTCGTGACTATCCTAATAGCGTAACGACAGAAAGGAGGACTCAGACCAAGCAGATCAGACCAAGTTGTAGATGATGGTGGGTTGTTAGAATGGTCCATTAACAGAGTTTTGGGCATGAAATAGTGGACATTTTGAAGCAGCATTACGGATATGACAGTTCAGCATACACCAGAACCATATGATAGTACAAACGACATGAATTCAAATGCAATGATGTTTTTTTTGTAAAAAAAAACCACCAGTCGGTCTCCCAAATACCAAAATAGCCACTTAAAATTATATATTTTCCGGATATGAAATCTAAACCTTTTCTATAGCAGTTTAGTTTATCCTGTGGCAAGACCACTGTTGATTGAAAACAGAAAAAAAGAACATAAGGCATGCGACCTGTTAAGTATTTCATGTCATTTAGGTACCGACCATTCGATCTTCTGGGGGAGCTGACTTAAGCACACCGCGGAACTTCGTACCAGGTGAGCTGCAAATGCTCTCTTTCGACATATTTTATGAATAACTCGTATTGGATTGTGAATAGATTTCGCATGACGGATGACACATGCCGTACAAAGACGGACGACAATACGTCACATAAGCCTTCGGACATCTTGCATGTACATGTATGGATAAAAAGGTAACAAGAACTGTCCTATGGGGAATTAAATACCTCCCACAGACGTATGATAATGTTAACATAAGTATCCAAACGTCCCTCTACAATCATATTTGACGACATAATCGCAGCCTCTGTCGTTTGAAGATTATACGAAATAGGGTAGAGTATTTAAAGGAGCAGCCAGAGGTCTCTTTTCCATTGACAATGTAAAGCCAGAACTTATGTTGTTGAGTTCGGAGTACCATAACATGTCAATATACGAAATTTGAACGAAATCGGACAAATTCTAAATTTCGACCAATCAGAGGTCGATTGCCGTGGTGCCACAGTGGTAATGGAAATGAAGGCATGCCGTACAGTGTCTGTCTACGTACATATCAGAAAGAAATCGATGTAGTTGTTTAGAGTGAGTTAGTTGGTTTTAACACCGCTTTTAACATTATTCCTAATATATCACGGCTGTAGTAGTTAAGTTGCCCAGACAAACTGAAATGACGACGTAATAAAAGGCGATAACTCCGCCGTAATGAAAACAACAACAATTGCAATGTGCCCAACAACATGTTGAAGTGGCCACGTGTACAAAGTTTAATTGAAATCAGTCAATGAGATCAGAAGGAATTGTCCGGAAACATATTTTCTGCGGAGAGACCGAGAGACAGGCGGACACGCTGATTCCATTATACCCCCTAACTTCGTTGCGGGGAAACAATGAACATATAATCTAATGAAATGATGTTCACAAGGGTTTTGGAAAGGAATTCATAAATAGATATTTACTCATGTAGATGTTTGAGACCTGTAAATTAGGGAGACCATCTTGGATTTCTGAATGAAGCTATACAAGTGGATGTTGTGCTGATCATTCACACTTAGTTTCACAAAGAGCCCTTATTAGTGTGGGAAAATAGTCTTATATAGGGTTAATTTCTAAATTTCGACCAAGAGGACTCAATTCCATTGCTATTGTAATAAAATGTGCTTTGTGTGCAATAATATATCTAAATGTCTTTTAACGAAATCAAACAAGTAAATTTCGACCAACCAGATGCCTCGGTTACATTGCCATGATGGTAAGAATACCTATTCGGTTAAGTCCTGAAATAGATTGTACCAAAATACCAAATTTGAACGAAATCTCTGAATATCGATCAATCAGCTCTGCAGATGCCACTTTCCTTTGCCACGGAAGCAAGGCAGTAAATTAAATAAAGTCAAATTGTACAGTGTCCATAGATACACCTTTGTACCAAGATTTAACAAAATCGGTTAAATGACACGGCAGTAATGACCCATAAAGAAATCCTGTAAATAACGACCAAGTTGTCGTTGTTGAGAGGTTATTGGAATATGAAAGGTGCAGTGCACTTACACAAGTTCCATGGCTCTACTATATGTCGTTCCTGAGAAAACGTGTATTCTATTACGAATAATTGGTCTTCGCTTTATTCAGTACTTGTAGGCCACCGGCCTCTTTGTACACACGAAATACAAGTTAGGTGCAAACATCAAATACAACACATTCCTTGCTTTTCTTTTTTTTTTAAAAGCAGTTTTAACATAATTGCATATTATCAAAGTTGGAGTATTTGTGTTTTTACAGCAATTGGCGTGAAACAAGTACTTTGCTGCTTTCATATTGATAATAGGGTCTTGCGATGACAGTAGTGTATTAAACTTCAGAATATTTGGAAAGATGTAAAATTTAGATTTTATGTAACTTTGCCTAAGATGGCTATAACCTGGACAAATTAACAAAAAGTGATATTCTTTTTCGATATGGTTTAGGTTACAAACTTTACATTTTCTAAATTCATGAGGAATATTGAAATGTCGTCGACGAAATCTAAATCGTGGAAACTGAACCGAAAACGAGTCAATGTGGTCCTGAATTTTTTTTACAGTTATACTACTCAAATAGTTCCCATATGAAATGGATGTGCAAAATAAGCAATTTGGGGACTTTCGGACGGATCACTGTGCCAAACCTGAAAGAAGATTTTATAACCACTTGTTTGAAAGTACAAGGCATCACCAAATCCTAATCTGAAAATAACAGTTTCGTTACCGAATTCACGTCGTCCGTAACATATTGTCACATTGTTTTGGTAAACTAGAACTCTGCATATTGAAATATTGAAAAGAGACTTGAGTGCCAATATTTGACACATTTCAAAACAGTAAGCCACTGAATAGAACATCTACCACACTCGCCTAACACTCCATTATTTGTAGGTGATAACTTTACGTTAAAAAGACGCTAACAGGTACACACTTGAACTGTTTCTAATGGTTCAAGGTCACTGAACCCCCAATTTCAGCCCCGTATTGATGTTATCTTTGTAAAGTGAGGCGAGTATGGTTTCAAGGAATGTATACTGTTTAACAGGACTGTGAACACCTTTCTTGTATGAATTGCAATACTATTTAAAGCATTCGACCCCAGTAATCTATTCTAACACCAAGCGACAATTTTGTTCCATTTCAATAACCAATTCGTTTATAAAAATCCGAAACAAAAGGGACTAAGCATACACCTATGCCTCACATCCATGAAGCAATCAAATGTACCAGATACTCTGTTGTTTGAACGAACACAAGCCTTTACATTACTATAGATTGATTGTAACATTTTACCCATGTTAACACTCAAACCATTTGTGTACAATAGCTTCCATAGATGACGCTGAATGGAGTCGAATGCTTAAGAGAAATCAATAAATTCTGCATATAATTTATCTCAATTACGTGAAAGATAACTGAATGACAGAATTTAAAACCAAAAAATTATCAATAGTTGAATAACTTTTTCGAAACCCCGACTGACATTCAGTCATTTTATCAAGTGTTGCAGCCCAACACATTCAGGGAAAACACCGTTTTGATAAATGCTGTTCAATATGATTTCTAAATAAGGTATTATAACAGCGGGCGAATATTTTAGATATTCACTACCGATGTCGTCAAGACCAGCTGATTTATTATTTTTCTTGGCTCTGATGCTTTCAAAAAGTTCGGATCTGGTGATTGGGGATTTCTTGCACATAGCCTGGACATGTCACTATGTCCTCAACCTCACCAAGATTATCCTGAATACCCATCTGTTTAGAATACTGCGACGAGAACTAGTCCCCCTAGTTTGGAATATCAATAGGATTGGGGCGTTGCGGTCGTCCAGACACACGCTTTATCATATCCCAGAAACGTTTAGAATTTCCCGCTGCTGCATTTTCAAGGTCACCCCTTTTACATTGTACATACTGGTCCTTCTTGATTCTACATAGGTATCTGTATTCATTGCACACTTTTTTATACTTAATAAGGTATGGTTATCTTTATTTTTTCTGCACGAATTTAGATAATGGCACCGTTCACTACATTCATCATCGGGGAACATGTCACTCGATGCTAAAACATGATCTATCACACTAGACCCTCAATGCCCATTAAATGTACAGTCACCGATTTGATAGTCAGTTCCAATATCTGTCCATCTCAAATTGTGTGAAGAAATGTACTAAGAAATAATTACTTTCGACATGGCGAATAACATCGTTCTCGATACAGTCCAGCGTCACACTGGAGTGCGGCGTGTAACAACAAACAAACAAATCCAAGTACAATGATAGAAACAACTGGGTACTCTTCGAGTGTACTAAATAAAAAATACAGCAATATCTCTACCCCATTTTGTCTATCTTTGTTATCATACCAGGTCGATATCTCCGGTTGGATATATGTAAACACACATAATATATCTCTACTGAAACCAAACATTCTTTTATCTTATATCGAACATCAATAACATATCTTACCAGTGAATATTTTATCAAAACTAGTATACCTGCTCCTAATCCACAACTGATTTTGTTCTAATTGACGATGAAATTAACAAATACCCGCTACATGTGTACAGAACACAAGAATAACTTGGTAGAACGTTAGTTTTCAATCTGTTGAAATTATTATTCCTAATCTTCAGATCCATCTACACTCGTATAAACTACAGTTCATATGATATCTTCAAGAACAAGTCACGCATTTGCTGAGTGAGTGAGTTTGGTTTCACGCCGCTTTTAGCTATATTCCAGCAATATCACGGCGGGGAACACAAGAAAGGGGCTTAGCACATTGTACCCATGTCGGGATTCGAACCCGGGTTTTCGGGCGAACCCTTTAACCACTAGGCTACCTCGTATTTGATCCCAATATGATAAAGATAACAGTATTACTGTTACGCATGATACTGAGGAATATTCGATATCTTGAATTACATGCCTTTGAGCAACATCCATTCGATAAATGTGCCCTTGCGGTAGTGCAATGACGAAGAGTAATGTGTAATGCAAGATGGCATAATACGAAAGAAAATAAGTTGCACTGGATTCAAGATGTAAATTTATAACCAAGAATGCACCATGACGATATACGTGTTCCAGGGGACTTGTGACGATGCTGACACATGACAAGGATGGATGTCGTCCTACCTGCATTGAGCCAGTACAGACTGCTGTGGGTTGTCTCTATATCGGCGGTCAGATTGGCTTTAGCAATATAGTCCACGGCTAAGTGGAACTGAAATGTAAATTAATATCACATTCTTATAGAACAAGAATTCACTTGATTCATCCACATCCATTTGAAAATTGAGTATTTACCATTAATGTATCGTTCAAGGTTGGTATTATACAATGTAAAGAAAACAATCAAACCATATTAAATGTGTGGTGTTTTCGCAAATACCTGGTGTCACCAAAGATTTTCAGTGATCCTTTCAAATAATTTGCACCGCTGTTTTACCTTACGCTCAATGAAATTTGTTTCGCCGAATTATCGAGATTGGTTATTCTGTGGCGTTGACCTTTCACATTTAATACATATTAAAAATTTGCTTCTGGTTGACATTTCACAAAATCATTTTAAAGGATGGAATGAAACGATTACGGTGCACGCGTGTCATTCGTTATCATTAAATGCTGTTAAACTGTAGTAAGTTATAATTAGCCATGCTAACACATTTCACACATGCAATCAAACGGACTGTTGGTAAAAGGATCAGTGTAACATCGACCAAACACAAAACAACCAAGAATGGATCGAACAGGAAACCAATCTTCCGATGTCCAAGTCATTACACTGGCCAGGCAATTCATGATCTCCCATGAAATTACCATCGCAGGACTTCCAGCATCTGCCATAACACAACATCGGTGAGCTGGCACTACATATACTCTACTATATAAATCACGTAGCAATACCTCATGGACTGGGACTGGGACACGCACGCACGCACGCACGCACGCACGCACGCACGCACGCACGCACATACACTATACACACACGCACACACACGCACGCACACACACAGCACACGCACACACGCTCACACACCACGCACACACACACACACACCACACACACCATGACTAGCGGATTAGAGTACGTTGTGCTGCTGATCTGCCAGAGATAAAACGATGATGAGTCATTGTTGAACGGGTTATCAGTCATAATGATGTACATAGTAGAAATGCGGATCAACCATTGTAGAAATGCGGATCGATTACAGTAGAAATGGGAATCGTAGATAGACTAACATGTATAGATAAATCATTGCAGAATTGGTGATACATTAACATAGACATGACGATCAATCACAGCAAAATTAATTTGCAGACACAGTAAAATCAAGGGCACAAAATGTATCGATTCACGACCCTCCCCCAAGAAAAGCAAGTTCTCGCACCGTCCCTAAAACATCCACCACATGTTGTTCTAACTGCCCAAAACGTATTACAACGTATTACAGAAAGTGACAGATCTTTGGACAAATATAACATTACTGGTACGACTACATAACCGTTTTAACCAGCGTTAACTCTGCTATCATCCCTTCAATGCACACGCCGTACGGCCTACGAAGCTGGTTCCACGCGGCCTCTGAGTGACGACCTTGAAGAAGACGGTACACAGGTAGCTTCTGTGCAACGTACATAAGCGGCCTTGGCTCAAGGCCATTTCACTACCTTCTCCAATTAACACTGTCTCCACCACGGACATACTACCCAGGTTGATGCATTTTAGTTTATACGAGTACTATTAACAGCAATACGTGATTTTGTGACTGACACTTTGCAATGACGCAATGGCCTACACGAATCCGGTGTATTGCTAAACATGTGCGACATCAAATCTATGTTGCATATTGATGTAAAAATGTTGCTATAAATGGACAACAAATGTAGTCTAGACAATCTTATGTCTTCAAAACATAGTTAGGACATGATTTGCCAGATATTTAGAGAATGTAGAATCGATTATCAATATCCCCTGTCACCAATATGGATTTCAGACTAGCTTGAGATCTGACAACGAATAAGAAAACCATTGGTCAAGTTCGCCATGACAAGAAAGGGGCGGTGTATACAAGTGATTACTGACCTTGATCATTGTGAAGTAGGTAAGAGTAAAGGCACCAGAGTAAGTTGAAAGAACCATGAAATCTAACAAGTTGAATAAATTCTTCACATGTACGATGAGGCCTGTCACGTATATCTGGCTGCATTCGACGCATGTAAAACCTGTCAGAACATATTTAAGAATGATAGCATGCATCATGTGATGTTACTATATACATATGTGAAATTAGAAAAAAACCAACTCATTTTTATGCTGATTGCGGGATTAATCTATGCTGACGGTAAGGCTTTCGGGTTAAAAACAATGTGCTGACCAAACAAGTCATGGATACGTAGTAATGACCCTTTAACTAGTACCCTTACCAGCAATAGTCGTCCAGATGAAAGGGGTTTTCGGAATAATCGGATTCTACTGTATGCCTTTAAATTCTATGGAATTCTAAGGAATTAAAGGCATACCTTATCAATATCAGTTATTTCTCAATCTCATTAAAATCAGACCTCAGTTCTCGCTACCGCTAAACAAAGATCTGAGGACATCCCATTAGGGGTCACGTCAGAACGACCTTTCATCCGACCAGTCAGAGCACCGCTTACCAGATTATGAAAGTGCCAGTCGGAATGTGAATTATAATCATGCACCCTCGAAAACTTTAACTCCGAACAATAGTTACGGGTTAAACGACAGAATCCATACAATCTAGACCATCTATTAGCCATTCCAGAATGTTCTCTTGTTCAGGTTTCAATTTTGTAATCGAGAATTTGTCATAATATGTTTCGAAGCGTAGTCGCCAATTTGAAATTAGTGCCGTAAAGCACGAGAAAGCTTCCTTCTGATTGGTCATTCCATTGGTCGGTCAAAGTTCGCGCAAGGTCGGTCTGACGTGACCCGTAATGGGATGGATGTCCTCAGACCTTTCTTCAGCGGTAGCGAGAACTAAGATCTGATTTTAATGAGATTGGTTATTTCTGATCATTGCTACTTTGATGCATTTTGCATTCGGGTCAACTAATACATTATTGAAAATATTACCAAGGGCAATGGTAAATGTCAAGTCCTTTAGGTAATTCGGAGAGGAAAGAACATGTGTATAATTCGGATTGACAAGGTTATACTGTCATTGGTGTGATGATGCTTGGTCACACAATCCAAGGGATATAACTCCTATTTTCAATTCAAAGAAGCGTGAATAAAATGTTTACGTTAGGCTACAGCTGAGCTGGTATTGGCCTTCGCAGCAGTATTCCAATTCTACATATTATCCAGTCTAGACAAGGCAATCCAGAGTCTGAAAGCATGGGCAACGATTCACGACACCCAATCAGCTGCTTCACCGAACCTGACCACACGTCCCAATTACGACCTGCAGTGTTGAGCTGGGGACCTACATCAATTCTGACATGGTTCCCCAACGGGTTTAAATACAAGGGTGGCCAGTTGTGGAATCATAATCACTGTCGTCCTCACGCCACAGCCTGGCATCACTTAAAGTTCCACGTGTACATTAATACTGACCGAAGTATCATGATCGAAATACCTTTAGAATCGATCTACAAGTGATAATAGTTCCCAGTACCCGTGAAGATCCGGGCTAGAATAGGTCTTCAGGAACCCATGCTTGCCATAAGAGGCAGATAATTTGTCGTAAGAGGCGACTAACGGGATCGTGCGGTCAGTCTCGCTGACCTGGTTGATGCATGTCATCGTATCCCATTCTATCAATTAGCTCATGATATCAATTCCTGGATTGTCTGGTCCAGACTCGATTATTTACAGACCGCCGTCACACAGCTGGAATATTGTTGAGTGTGTCGTTAAACAACAAACACACACAAAATTATAGTTCTTAGTCATGTCTGTGGTGATGCTACCTAATGGTCGTCCCCACTGTTTCTGATTACCTAAAATCCAAAGCGTCAACAGCACTTGAGTCACCGTGGGCGCATACGACCTCAGAGGAAAGTCGATGTCGAACAATTCTTTCTTCGTCAAATTCCGGAATTCGTGATACCGCCGGAAGTCGACTGGATAAAGCGTTTTGAGCGTCTTCTCGTTGGAAATTGTGTAGGACGACTCTGCCGTGGACACCACGATAATCACCAGGAACACGAGTTGGGAGAACGAGTGAGTGAGAAACTTCACAAAGGGATACAGGAGGACCCTGGCAAACTGAAACAAGACCAGTATGAAATCTTATTCGAAAAATACAATGGTTCGTACATTTAGTTGAAACCGTCCTTATCACATAACTTACAACGCCGAGGTTAAGGGTCGTGGGTACTTATACGTTAACGTCCACGATGGGTCAGTGTGGGTGACGCAGGTGTGCAGGCATCCACAGCACCCAACACACTTACACGTCTCAGAAGAAATATATAAGCGAATATTAACATTCATAGTACCGTTGCTAATGAGACGGGGACATTAAAGCAAGCTGAATATATATATTACCCTTATGTTGGGAAATGTGGCTGTGAAGTGGTTTTGGATTGTTGGAATCAAAATACCTTTGTTAGAAACAAACCTTCAAGGTGCAACAGCATTTGTTAAATAGGTACATACATAGTCAACAATACGGCCAAAGGTGAGGCGGGGTGCCTACATTTGACATAACCTTATCATCTACACAATGGTTCAGATTGTGTTTTTCTGTTAAAAAAACTTAGTTCTTCTAAATCTCCTGAACCCCAGTGTACTTCTTTGTCATCCTTGGATTGGATTTCTTTGGATTATTTTTAATATGTATATTGCCTGAATATTTTCAGTCAAGATACATATTGCCTGAAACATGAAACTGTATTTTTGACAGACTGACTGAACGAATTAGACTCCCTAATTGAATCTCCCAATTTTAATTGGGACCTTTTTTAATCTTATAAAGATCAAAGTAACTTCTGTAAGTAATTACACATGTTTCCACAATGAATTGATTGGCTCTTTAAACATAAAGGAATACTAGAGTCCTTTTTTATGTTACTTATCTTTTTTGATATGACATACAGTTCAGTAATAGAACATACAGAATATAATGTCAAATAATATATGACTTAGACTACAGTGATGCTGTTTGCACATAAGATTTCACAATACTTTGTGAGATGGTTCTGATGTACCATTATCCACTTGTATGAGCACTTAGCCATTAGCTGCAGGTTGATATGTGGAAGGGTTTATGAACCACGCCCTTCGCTGTGATTCGTTTTCGCTTCTTCGGACATTCAGTGCAAAGAGATTTGTACAGCTCTGCTACCTCACGACTGATATTGGCAAATTTAGTTAATGCTTTCAAACATTTTGTCACGTCAAACATGACCAGTTTGAACGTGCCCTGTCCTAATGATGTCAAACATATCATCGATCGTAAGTATGGCGAATAAACTTTTCAACATCACCACACTGAAAATTTCATACCGACAAAGGATGTAATACTGACGAGGGGTTTTATCAGAACAAGCTTCTTTGAGTTCTTCAAGTAAAATATTCGTTCTAAGTCAATAAAAAGGACTTGTTATCAGACTTTCTCTTTCAACAACTGTTCATGAAACGAAGTGTCCATTGAAGTAGCCAATGCACAAGTTGACAGAGCAATGCAATAGTATCACTGTCCATAGGTCACTGTCAACTTTTGTTTTGACATGTAACCATTGTTATTTGATGAGAAGACTGTTTCAGGTCGATGCTACCAATATTTGACTAACTAACTGTCTGGATTCTAATCAGGTTTTTTTTGCTTTGACGAGAAGACTGTTTCATGTCACTGGTGTCTATTATTTAACTAATTAACTACCTGTCTTCTCATCTGCTTTTCTATTTTTTAAGAAAAAACAAAGATAATTTGTAAATGTGTTGACACTTGTTAACATCTGATTGATTCAAATGTACTGTGTAAACTGCATACTTTGAGAAGTTCCTCTTCGTAAGTTCAAAACAGATCCAAATTCAAATGGGGAGGTTAAATTACGGAGTCCTATTTGTTTCACTCAAGCTGTCTAAAACCCGTTTATTGAATGCAAATTTCAGTCGGTACGTACACTGCCTGAGTGACTGAAAGATTCAGTCAATGTGTATATTGACTTATTTTTCAGTCAAAATACCTATTGCCTGATTGTGGACATTGAAATATATTGTGAGCCTCAATAGGAGCAGTCGTAATGCATGTTGGAGAGAGTTGGTTACCTTGACTGTGAGAGCGTGGTTATGACAAGAAAGGGGTATTAACCTACAAGTGAGAGAAGTGGCACATACCTCGAACAGACGTTTTATATATAAATATATGCTTTTTGACATCGTTGTTTTTATTTAAGAGTTTCTCTCAGATCTGCCTGATATAGATGTACTTGTACATGTTTTACTCTGTCAACAGCGAAACATATCTCCTTGTTAAAACGAGAAATTTAAACCTACACATAATTCACCTCTGTTCTCATCGTGACATCGTGTCACGTTAATCTCATTAATTCCCTTTAAGACCTAAAGAGTACAAGGACCACCTGAAGTACACACTTATTGATATTATGTTTTTGTATACGCTCGAATTTGTCCTTGGATGACGGTACTTGACTGACTAACGTCAATTAGGCCGTTTCATCCGTATAAAAAGCTTGAAACAGTGCCACTGCATGGAGACTTTATTGGTCGGAGAATACATTTATTGGTCTTGTTTCAGGGAACTTTCGCTGATCGATCATGACAAAATGTCTCATCGTGGTTATTTATTACTGCTTGACAGTGAGTGGCCACTTTGATATAATGATCAATAACTATAATTATGTGTAAAAAATATCATTATGTTCCTCAAATAATGACCAAACAGTTAAAATTATTTATATACTGCAATTTGAAAATGGACGTGAAACGTAAGTAATACTATCTTTCTTTTTTCAATTCAATTAGAGAAAATAATGTCCCATTCGTCTTGGTAAAATAGGTTCACATTAATAATGAAATATTAAGTCCGAAGAATGATATTCAGGGATAACTTCTATTTAGTCTAGCCAATTGCAACCGGCTCGGTTATCATAGAAGCATATAACGTCATCCACAGTATGATGAACAAGGCTCTTCTAAATTAAAAGCTTCGGCTAAAGCCGCCGGTTCCAAATGAAAATTTAAGCTTCCAATATTCATTAAATTCCGCATATCTAAAAATACATGTATGGTTTTTTTCGACATAATTAAATGTGAACGTTATCAGTTATCATCGGGTTTTCAGAAGGTCAAAGTGATCCTGAATATAACGACAAAAAGACTTGCTTAAAATAATGGCTGCTATTGAAAATAGTAACTTCCTTTTGCGAAAGAATAGAGACATAAGACTTGTTTCTTACAGTCATTTTGAAAAAAGCTTCCAGCGGGAAACATTTACTATGCTAGTTGATCGGACAGCACTTACCTTTCCGGTGGGATACACTAGAGACATTAAGACGAGGAATGGGTAGGCGAGGATGAACATGCAGACAATGGCAAGGCGTCGGACACTGCCGCTGCCTTCCCACGATCTCAAGCCATGGTACCACATATGCACAAGTCGCTGCTGGCAGTTAGGGTGAGCTACGAACTGAAATGAAAAGAAACCTTGAAACCCAGGTTTGAAGTAACACTGATGAAAGGGATTGCTAACGGCAATTCTTATGAATTAACCAACTTACCAAGCCTTCCGTGTGCAAGGGAAGTCATCAGCATGAACTTGAAATTTGAGTTTTAACGTGAGGATGCGTTGTCAAGAAGATAATATCATAGGTACATTTATAAAATGACGGCCTTATTTCTTTGAAAGCCACACGGCTATTGAGTATGTATTCCCATCGTATCAGCTGTATATTCGGTAAGTAATGAACAAAGGGTGGCTTTCATGTCCTATACCGGGCGCTGGAGGAACTACTTTATACTTTATCCGGGGGCACGGGTGGCTCCGTTGTCTAAGGCGCTGCGATTCGTTGTGCAGGGTTACGTCCCTTGGGCACGCCAGAAACCTATGATTGTGGATTCGAATTCCGGTTCGCCTCGATCATGTTTTTAGGTTTGTCAGCACCATACCCGTGCTCGTGCGTTTCACCGAAGTGGTAAACGTCTGAGACTTGCATCACTTCGGGATTTCCTCCCACATTAAGCTGATGAGTGATATAACTGGAATACTGTTAAAGGCGGCTCACTCACTCACTTATACTTCATCCAGAAAACAAAGTACATGGAGCGCGGAAGTTCAAGATGTATCAATGGAGCGTACCCAGAAATAATGACAATGCCCATATCAGATTCGTGTGATATTCCCATCATGGAAATATTCAGTGCGACTCAACGTTCCCTTTTGCTGAGTGTTGATACCAGTAGAACTAGATATCTATATAATACTCATTAGCTTGGAATCTAGACACTTTAATAGGCCAACATCAGTTGTTATATTGGATTGTTTGCAGTTATGCTTGTGGTGATCACCTTGGCATCACTATTAGAGTGTATATTCGGTGTGCCAGATGCTAGAACGTATACATCAAAGTATCCGAATACGTGATGGTGGTATTCGTTTCGACAACAACTTGCTCATTCTGACTTATACCAGAACGTAAACCATTCGTTTCAAATCGAGAAGGAATGTTCGATACATAATTTTACTGACGCTTCAAACGTTTTATATATGCAGTTTGTATGTACTTTCTGAAATTAACTGAATTCAAGGATGTTAGGGTGCCTCAAGTGACTAAGTGTTATTTTCTATTCATTAATTATTATGTCCTTTGTAATGATCAGATACTCCCGTGTAAAGCTATGTCTTAAAGACCATCTGTTGATATTGCAGTTTCGTTAGCTAATAAATTATGGCATACCAACACGAGTCACGTCCCTTCTTTAGTTTTGCGTACCCTTTCTCGAATTCGTCATGAGTTGTGAACCCTCTACAAGCTACAAGATGTTTTACACGAGATCTGTCACTGACACAAGTGTAAAATTGTATCAGGGACATCATTGGGAAGGACATGTCATAGATATGTTTGTAAAGATTTGGCATGGAGAGTTTTATAAAGATGTTTCCATAATGACAAGTCACTTGTTGATGCCCTTTTACCTAGCTTTACATGTTTCATTACTGTAGCACGGAGGCTGAAGCATGTAAGGTGTTATTCAGGGAGTATGGCTGTGCATATTCCTAATGTATTTCTAATTGTTTCACTAGGATTCATGACGAGTGGATGACCTCTGTGTTTTTTCGTGTTTCATCTTCGATAAACAGGGGAACTACTATAACGGGATCTGTATACGTTCAGCCCGACATTCACCATATACAGCATGGATGAACATCGCCGTATTGAGGCACTTGACACTTATATAGCTACAATCAAAAGTGAATATGGATCGGAGATTGAAATTATGTTGTAAGTCAATTTCAATGCACGCAATGGATACAACGAGGACTGTATTGTTGATGATGAGTCGGATGTTGACCTAGTTCAGCTCCGTGATATGTTCGTGATCCTCTTGCAACGCAGGACCGTGAAACAATCGATCGATTTGGTCTGGGTCTGTTGGACGTGTTTAGAGTAGGGGGAATTCACATGGGCAATGACCGTCAAACAGCAGATTTAACTCGAGCGTTCACATTTATTACTTCTAACGGAACAAGTTTAACAGATTATGTCATTGCATCTTCCAGGTTGTATGAATCGGCACTGGATTTAGTTGTAGAGTCCTGAAGTGAATCCGATCACCTCCCTGCTTTTTTGAATTTGCTACGAAGATGTAAAACAGACGTTCATACAAAACAGTATCTTGAAAGTGAAGAAACTATTCCGCAATGTTTGTAATGTTAAACGGCAACGGTATAGCGATCGTCTCATGGATGAGATTAAATCTGCTATTGCTGACAAGGTATTGTCAACGCGCATGTTGACGGGGAATTAGCTCTTGGGGGAATCAAGGAATAAATCGACATCACTGTTCCGGAACGTTTTATGCACAACATGTAAACAATAAACCACAATTGCACAATGAGCGGAACACCTGCTCTGACAACACGAACACAGCGATGAGCGGACCTTTCAGCTCAGGCATACAAGAGGTGAGCGGAGCTCCAGCTCACCTCAGGGCGTTTCCTACGAGCGGCACATCCTGCTCGAGGTCGTCCCTATGCCAGCACTCGGAATACCAAGCTTTACTAACACCGTAGTAACAGTGTAATGGTAGCACATATATATATACTGAACCAAATTAAAAACTTCACAATCCTAAATTTTTTATCATTTTGGCCAGTTATCATTGTGGGCCCTTATTGTGTATTTAAACAGTAATGGCCACGTATTGTCTTCAGATAACACCCGTTTTGGGCAAAAGCGGTTTTTCACGTGCAACTGGTCACCTGGCCATAATACCGCACGTGTTTTCAGCCATACTTGTTAGCAGTCATTAACAAAAAAAGAAAAACACAAGAAAACAAAAGTCTTTACCACGCCTTTCAAATGTGCAACGTGAACGTGCCATCGGCAAGTTGCAGACGGGAACGTCCGTAACTGGAGTCGCAAGGACAATGGGTTGTAGTCGACGGACTGTTTATGATTTACAGACGCGTCTACAGCAAATGGGTACCACCGCTGATCGCCCTCGGTCAGGTCGACCACGTGTGACGTCACATGCAGAGGATCGTCAGATTGTCTTACGTCACCTCCGTAACCGATTTTTGACGGCTACATCAACCAGAAATGAACTGTTTAGGGGTAGACTGAGTGCGCAAACTGTTCGAAATCGTCTGAAAACTGCTCACCTTCAAGCACGACGGCCATACTGCGGGCCGATTCTGACTCAATTACACAGACGTCAACGTCAATTTGTGGGCACAGCGACACCTACGATGGACTCAGAGGAACTGGAATCAAGTCGTCTTCAGTGTTGAATCCCGATTTAAATTTTCGATTTGCTGATGGTAGGGCGGGGGTGTGGAGGCGCCGTCATGAACTTTACGCCCAGTGTTGTGTACAGGAAGTTGACAGATTTCGAGGTTGAAGTGTCATGTCGTGGGATGCTTTCTGTGGCAATGCACGTTCCAGGCTTCTTGTCATCCGTGGCAACCTCAACGCTGCTGCTTACCGCGACCAGGTACTGGCACCAGAACTTCTGCCTTTTGTGGCAGCACATGGACCCGGTTTGATCTTCCAACAGAACAATGCCAGACCCCTAACAGCAATTTTGACAAGGAATTTCCTTCATGGACTGGCCGTCAAGGTCTCCCGACCTCAATCCCATCGAACACGTCTGGGATGCTCTTGGCAGAAGTCTGCGCACTCTCCAGAACCAACCACAGAATTTGCAAGATCTTGGCACCATTTTGCTCAGCAATGGCGTCGTCTTCCCAATCATGTGTTCTCAAGCAACACAAGGTTGTGTGGCAGTTGTCAACGCACATGGTGGCCATACACGCTACTGAACTTGTGTGCCATCAGATTCTCGTGCTTGGGACTTATGATTTAAACTGTTGATGTTATTACCGAATACCATAGGTGCTTGGAACAAATTATGGTTACCACCGTTAATTAAAATCCTTCTTTGGACATTAATGATTAAAAATTACCTTCTCTGATACATTTGTCCGTTGTATATCATATATGGGTTACTTTTAAAAATGAGTAGTTTTTAATTTGACTCAGCATAGTAATGAACAACAATGGAAAGACGTTGCTCTGGACATGGGACTTCTGGGGGTGATGAACCGACACAGCTCAGGGGATGAACAATTAAGGCAATCAATGTCATACTATAAATAACCGTAATTAACGGGAAGTGATATAGCAGCCCAGGTTGGCTTTTAGTCAATATGCAATGAAATGTTGGTGAGAATTAACAACGGGGATTAGCGCCTAAAACGTAATGACAATTAAGTTATGGAGACATGGCTACAGGGTACATGTAATTAGCCTTTGGAGTCAAATGTACTTCAGACAATGATAGTCGTAAATCAGTCGCTATAATAGTATTGTAAAGTATTTTGGAGAAAACTCAAATCTATGTTACATGTGATAGGACATGTCTCGTCTATAACGCTCGATGTTTGGTTTGAATACTTTAAAAAGTTATTAAATCCAGGAAGTGTAGAATCTTCTAGGTCAGCATGGTCCAAAGCATGTGAAACTCTGGCTATATAAGCCATAAGGCTAGTTTTCCTGTCCATAGATTATTAAGAACTTTTTCGACCCTGTCCTTCGATATCACCCAAAAATATATTTGATACTAAAATTGTTCCAATCTTAGTATGGTTCAGAAATGTGGGGATTGACGTTTATGGAGTCAATAGACAAGGTACAGGGATATTACTTTAAGAGTTTTCTGGGTTCCTCGAGAACGCAGGCAGAAGTTATATGTATGTTGATTATAATACTCGATGTATATGTAATTGATGCAGACTTCTTCATATGAAAGTTCCAGGTATCCAAGGGCTTGCTATGACATGTTGCGGATTTTTTTATGATAATGGTTAAAAAAGTGATTCTCTCACATCTTAGACTTAGCATAGTAAAGACTTGTCATATAAATGTTTGGAAACACTTATGATAGAGCTGCTTGAAAAGACCTAACATATGGATGTTTCTAAAGACTTAAAATGGAGATGTTTGTAAAGACTTGTCATAAAGATGGTGTAACGACATCTCAGTGTTTGCAAAGATATATCACAGAGATATTTGTAAAAAACATACCATTGAGATGTTTGTAAAGACACATCACAGAGATATTTGTAAAGACTTAGCATGGAGATGTTTGCAAATTGCAATGAGGGTTAGCATTTAGATTTCGTTTTAAACGTTTTATTTGTTGTACAAGAAATAGCATTGTAAATATGTATCACTGGCAGTTTGTTTATTTTAACAATGATCACAATTTCTAAATTAGGTTAGGAGAAAAAACGTAAATTCTTACCAAGGATATTGTTTATACACGTTTGTAAAGAATATTATACATGCCAAACATCACCAATGACACTTGTGGCTACAAAGCGAACATTCTGTGAATTCTTATTAATGCCATGACCTGCCAACACCTATGCTGGGTCAGTTAAATAAACCCTGCGCAAAAGTGATTTCAGATGTCTATTTCACATATAATATAAATAATTAAAATCGATTGTTCAAAGTTGACACATCATTGACCAATGTTCCATATGGCACACATGGACCAGTAGATTTTCAAGGTGAAGGTCATCTGTTCTCAATATCTTGAATGACCACCATTAGAGTCCAAGACTGACTGGCATCATCGCCCCATGGAAACAATAAAATGCCGAATTGTGGCCTGGGGAATGTTCAACAACCCTGCCTGCAGTGCTTGTGCCAACTGTCGGAAGTTCTGTGGTCGTTACTGACGTGCTCGGGGTCGTTGGTCCAGTGCATCCCATAAATGTTTTGGGTTTTAATCTGGAGACATGAAGAGCAATGGCAGGGCCTGGATGTAGGGATTCCTGAAAAATGTCTGTTGTCAGTCTTGCCGTGTGAGTTCGTTTTCTTGTAGGACAATGACATTCGCTTGTTGCATAATGGGAAGGACGTGTGGCCGAAGAATCTCATCCGTGTCTCATTGTGCCGTTACATTTCCAAAACAATTTCACCAAGTCTGTTCTGCCAGTTATAGGAAATGGTTTCCCACGTCATCACACTGCCCCAACCAAATCTGTCTATTTCCTGTATGCAGTTTCGTGCGTAACATCCCCGTGACACCTGTTAACATGACGTCTACCATCCGCACGGCGAAGCATAAAACGTGACTCGTCACTGAACCAAACTTGTCTCCATCGCAGTTGTAGCCATACTCTTGATGCCATTGACGTCGCAGTCGATGATGCAGGTCCGTCAAATTGACAGACAGACAGACAGATATTTTATTTCGTCTAAGCGCTGTACATCATAAAAAAACGCATAAAATAGACGTCTATACATAAAAATAATAATACAGCGCCACTCATATAAAGTAATGAGAGACGTTCCACAAAACTGGATGATATATACCGATAAAAATGTTGTACCAATATATATTAATAGCTTTCTGCGTTGCAATGTCAAAAAGTGGGTTTGGGCAGTGACATATACCTTATGTTTAAAAAGGACTCACAATTTCTCTTGCTGTAGGATTGTGATGGCATACAAATGAAATCCCAACGTTCTTAGGCCAACAAATAATGTTACAAGTGCATGTCATGTTGGTGTGTTTCGGCGTCAGGATCTCGCGTGGTTGTGTTTTTGCGATATTTCCATCTTTTCACCAAATGTTTTAAGTACCTCATTTTTTCAACACAAATCAATCCCAATCGATGCAGAAATGACCAATTCAGTTTTGGTATTAATTTTGTATGGATGTCGGCAACAGTCTGTCATTTTTTTATTGCAGAGTATATGTGTTTTTTTCATAATATTTATTTAATTTGAGAAATAAAAGAATTTTGATAATATTACTGCATGTGCTATATGCAACATTTTGGGATTCCAAATATCCTGCTGCACCAAACAGTAAACTCTTGGGAAACAGAGGCTTGTGTTCTATCCAGACGCATTGAACTGATATCCAGCTGAGTGAAAAGAGTCATTTTCCCCAGACATAAATTGTGATTATATTATTTTCTCTTCAAACATGACTTACCCTCTTTTCCTTGTAGTCGAGGGCTAGCTGAAATCTCGCCATGTTCTCGTACGCTTCTGTAGTGTGGTCCCCGGTTTTGTTCAGGATGAGGTCCAGCTCTTCCTGGGTTCGAATCCGGTCGAGTAGTTTGACAACATATTCACTGAGTTGGTCGGCCAATTGTCGGTACTCCAACTATTATGAAACGAAGTACTTAGGTAATTACGACAAACAACTCGATTGACATAGAGTGATGGAATAGTGGATGGATCTGGATTGCATTTACTGGGTTGAAAAGTGACTGGATTGTCAGGAAATAAAGGACCCGTATGCCATGAAAAGATGGAAACAGCTTGATTGACACAATTGTGTTGAAAACGAGTACATTGTGGGGAATGACAAGGCATAAGAGGATAAATACGGGAAATACATCTCATTTGCATTTCATATGTCTCAATATGTCTCGATAAATTTATATGTCTCGATCCAATACGGTCAGGTATCCAAATCCTTCCGGTTTCTGTAGTCGTGGATATTACAGATGTGTGCATGTCATTGATCTCATTTGTTGGGGTATCCTTTCCTTCAATCTTGTTAGTCGTTTTGTGAGATGAAATTGAAGTACTTTGATGAATTACATGTTAACATAACACGTACACATTCTTTGTAATACTTCCATAGCAGATATGGTCAACTTAAACTGTAAAAACCATATTTGCATAAGATTTAATACCTTAAAATGCTTTTCAAGTTTAGATAACTTCCTCAGCTCGGCCGCCAACTCGAACGCCGTGAGAATAGGATCTTTACTTGAGAGGGAGATATACGCCTCACTCGACAAGCCTCTGTAAGCGTTCAGCCTGTATTTCGCTAGCCGGAGCTGATCGAACCTCATTTTGTTGTCACATTCATTGCACCCACAGCTGTACTTGTGAGGCTTCTGGATCCTCTCGTCTCTCAAGAGGAGCAACTGGACTATTTCGTACTGATTCTTCTGGGAGGCAAGCATCAAGGGCGTGATGTCCGGGGAGAACTGAGACTCAGCGTTCGCTGTCTTGTAGAAACCTTCCTGGTCGCCTAGTTTCCTTCTCTCCCGCCACATGTCTACATACCGCTTGTGCTTGAGGATCGTCTCGGCTATCTGGACATGTCCGGCGCTGATGGCCTGGAGAACCGCCTCGTATATGTGCTGCTGGTTGGACCGGTCCAGTAGCACCTCTACCACCTGGAAAAGAGTTTAGTGGGTTGGTTTTAACTTTACATATGGTTTCAGATATATCACAGCGTGTCAGCTTAAAGTTGGAGGAAAGCCAAAACTGAGGAGAAGATTGTCTGATGAAACCAAATATTGCGAGCAATGGTAATAATCAGGGGGGGTCTGGGTTTCGAACACACAGAGTGGCGAAAAGATACCTTGAACGTCTTGATACATGTATATGGTGCCATATTATAACAATGGCGCGGATCGTCCCAGCGATGGAACCGTAGTATTCGTTGCTTTCACTAATTCACCAACTTTCACTAAAAGACTTTCCATATGAGATTATATCCTTTTAGCTAAAGACTATTATTCGTATCCCTTTGAAAATCGCTCTTTTCAATGCAAACATATAGTGCGATGTTACGCCTGCGATATACGTAAATGAATCTTAATAACTATTAACACAAGTTATGTTATTGACAAATGAGTGGTCCTCCTTTCAGCAGTGAAACTGTTGAACTGTTGTACACAAACGAGTATCTCACACTTGCTCTTATTGTGTCAATATTTTCAGGGCATTTGAAATCAATGTCATCCTTACCTTATCGACGACACCACGTATTTTATAACAGTGTCCCATTCCCTCCCCAGACATGGATTTAATCATCGATCGGTGTTTTTAATGATAATTTATTCTTTACTCGAACAAACATTTTTGTTGCAATAATTGTCAGAGAAAACACTATCTGACATCATTTGTCATTGACGCCTCCCGACATGTCATAATCGACAGTTCTATGCTGACGTTTCGCTCTTAGCAAAATGATATGTCATTAAACATGTCACATGGCATGCCATCAAGTATGACACATGCTCTAAAAGCGCTGGGTTTTACAGCTGACATTTACAGTTATTTGCATGCTGATGTTATTTATAGTGGTTCTGAATGCACTGGTCTCATCGTGGCCGATGTCATTGAATATTAATCTTCGCCGTCACGATCCCAAATTATCGAAATGGTAAAATAATGGCTGCATCGTTCGTCCATGCAAACATTTATGTCAGATATATTTGTGCACTCTCGTGCAGATTAAAATCTGGAATTATTATATAATTTAGATATAACACTTCATATAACTAAGTATGTTTTAAATAACTATTGATAAAGTTCATAGTTTTTTTTATTGTCATATCGAATGTATAGGAATAATAAGGTCGGTTGTAGCGAAAACCGGCTATCACAAACCACAGTCTTATAATCAACGTTATTGTGGTATCTGGCATTAACGAGAACCGAACTGGTGATGGAGATAATCAATCACTGAAATACCTGAAGTAATGTATCCCTGATTATGATTTTTATCAATAATAATTATAATAATAGTCCATTTATATGGCGTCTTTTCCATGCTGAATATCATGCTAAAAGCACATTATTACCGCGGTCAATGGAATCAGTGTGCACTTTAATTTCATTCTCAGCTCCCTAGGCAGTATACAGCCCACACTACCAAACCAAATGTTTGAGAAAACGAGAGCAATATCTGAAGATGCAGTTGACATGAAATCAATATTATGACAATATCACTTAAAAGTTATGTGGAATTATATACCTATAATTGAATGTCTTTTTGCCATTTTAAACTCATAACAGAGAACATTTGTAGTACCAACTTATCTACGGACACTTGTATTTTCTGATATCCGCTTCGATATTTTGCTTTGAATCACTAAAATATAAATATGATGTTATATTGAAGATATACACAATTTGAATTGGTTGCAGGAAATACATGTTCCTTTATCAGATTTTGTTAATGGTCCTGTCAAAAACAAATTCAATTGGTTACCTTAACGCTATTGATAATAAAAACACATCTGTACACATCTACAATGTTTTAGTTCATTAGATCTACATGTAAACTGAACATGTTGTACCTGTCGTGGGCATAGTGTTAAATAATTAATTTAACATAAAGACACACATTAGTCACTACTTAACAATATCTGAACAACACAGTGGTGAAAATGCAGCCATTCTTCACATTAACCACTTCTATATGCCCCCGAGGTGAAGTAAGTGGGATGGGAAGTATTCTCCTGTTACTAATTAGCGTACACGGTCAGGCCTCTACTAACAGCAGGATACCTGAAGCCCATCATAGCAACAACAACATTAGCCCGACTTACGAGAATCAGGAATTGATCAGTTTGTGCCTTTAAAATATGTACACTAACAAACCATGTTTTTCACACAAGTATTGGGAAACGTCAAGTTTGTTTGGCAAATCATTACAATATACGCACATATTATTTCAATGTCAATTCCTCCAATTCATTCTTTTATCCACCACTATATTATATACTACTCAGTGACATCGGTGAAATGCCACGTGTGGACGTGAGGGAGTAAAATATCAAGATGTTTAGTTAGAGTTGTGTTTAACTCAACTTTGAGCAGCCACTTTGTTGATACTAAAGAGTACGGACGTGGTGCTGATAAAGCAAGAATTATGAAAAAGTCAAAGCCTGTATTCGGACGCGAGATCACAGGGGCGTAACTCTGCGGCCCTATAGACAACTCGGCCACCCGTTCCTCCATGCATGATTTAGCGAGAGATTTCATATGAGTATGGAAATGTTTTTTTCGCTTTTATCATAATAACCACTCGGGACTGATTTTCAAATACATTGTTTTACATTTTGCAATTGACCTTGTTCACACTTCGCTACTTCCGGTTTGAAAGGGAGGCTTGGAGAGCAGAAGGTGAAGGCTGGATAGCTCATGATACACATGGAGAGGCACGCACTCGGGCAAACTGTGACAATTTAACCACGGCAACATTTATCGTAAGTATTGAACGTTATTCTTATTCTTATCATTGACAAAATATTCTACTGTTATCTTTCTTGTCTCCTTACTAATATAAATTTAGCAAGTGGGTCTGGTCGTTCTGTTGTGATTTCAAATTCAAATATCCATGACCACCTGGTAACTCCCAGTGCAGTTTAAGGTAGCTGAACAGACTTAATACAAATCCTACTGGGATCGTGTAAAGAATAATTCATTGTTTACACACCATTAACCCAAACCATTTATTCATGTGTTTTAGTCAAGGTGTAAGTTAAATAACTTTGCGAGTTGTATTTGAAGTCGAGTAGAAAATATTGACCTTTTGACCATATCCAGATGGATGTCGGAAACTAACTTAATTGATATGTTGATTTTTTTTTTATCTTATCGTAACCTATTGAGAATTTACAATCATAAACAAATCAGAATTTTGCATCAGTTGTGTATTTGATGTAACTTATAATGGACTCATATGCATTCCAATAAAATATTAGACATCTAGAACTACTAGTGCTGCTGTGATTGTGAACAATAGTTATTCTAGTTGTCAATGGTGACAGATTAGTTAGCATGAGGTGTAATATTTCAACTGAATTCACGCAGAAGATATATGCTGAAATTGAAACCATCTCCGGTGATGGATGTCTGGAGGAGCTTTCTGCTGATAACAACACACTGGTTACAATGTGCTTCCTGTCACATTTCACTTAAATAGGACGAGGAAGTTAAAAGCCATATTCACTCACTCAACAACATGGCCAATATTTGACTCATGATGTTTGAATAAAACTATAAAAAGACGCATTGTACCATTTATTTTACAAGCAAGAACATTATATTCCCCTCGAATTTAATTAGGTTCTTTTGACTGACAAACACACCCGTGCTTTTTACACCCGTGCTTTTTTAAGTTTTGAAAAATCTGAATATCTTAAGTGAAGGATAAACAAGCTTATATTGTGAGAAATAAAGACATGACAATTTAGGTTTGTTAAATATGAGAAATATAAAGAATCCAGATAATTTTAGATTGAACCAGCACACATTCTATTTGCCTGTTCTGAATATAAGAATTGATTTTAATTATTTGGTTTCCAGGTTGTTTTGGAAACATAGAAAAAAATAACAATGTTTGGGGATGATATGTCTAATAGTTTTTTCCCCGACCCACTTCAGCATTTTATTATTGACTGGACAGACTTTGGAATATTAGTTATTCTCCAATATGAGTTTTTATTCCATTTTGTGGGTAAAACTTGAGATTGGAATGTTCATAGACCCAGGTAACACAGATACTTTTATCAGATTGTGGTTATATCTGAGAAAAACTAAACAAATGAAAATGATGGATATATTTTAAGCATTCTGAACCTTTTTGAGATATCTCAATGATTTAATAATTGAAATCATATCACTATGGCATAATTTCAATACTTCCTTCGAAACTCAGATTTTCTCATCGTGAAACTTGATAATCTACATGTATGATATGGTATATGTAATCAGTTTTGGATAATTTATAAATAATGTAATATTTACATATATCCAGCTTTCAAGATGTAAATATATACTTGTATATTTATTATTGGAACTTTATGAAAAGAATACTTTGATATTTTTGTTTGGTCATAAGCATTATCAAATCATACATTTATCTGCATGAACAGAATCTAACTCTTATCCTGGAGGTTGCCAAACTTAATTTTTCTATTCCACAATACTTGTGTCATTTTGTTTAATAGATTTGGTGTTTAAACAGTTTGGTAGCCAGTGGTTTCATTATCAGTGTCAAAGAAAGAATGTACAAAAGTTTGAAAGAAGACAATTTAGATTTTTCCTTGTCACTCTGAACTGAAGTGTAACAAAATCTATCTACAGAACTAGATTGTAACCTTAATTCTTTTATTAATCTGCTGACGTGGTTTCTATTTAGATTCTAAAATCAAACCAATGATTCATTATTGTACTGCTATGACTAGAAAGGAACAGCAAACTAATATTTTGCTTTCAATTTGATGTCATAAATGACACATTACCTATTTTAACCTCTTTACAGTGATTTATATATGCTGATTAGTTTATTTTTTATTTTGTCTCATTCCATCAACATAATTTGTACCGGTACATATATTTTATCTTGGTTTGATTACAAATTGAAGTTGATTCCTTTTAATCTTTTGTTATGCTATCTGTACCCACATCTGATCAAGACATTTTCATACTATTCAGGATAATTGTATTAGTAGCCTCCTTTTGGTATCCAATTCCCTATCATCATATAGGATTAGGTCAGGGTGTTCAAGAAGTTGATGTTTTTATAAATTCTTCTATTTCTTCTATTTCATGCAATATCTATAAATTTTTATTTTTTTTATTTTAACTTATTTAAAACATTACACACATTATTACTTTTGTCGAGCACAGTGCAATCTTAATCGCCAATAATAGGTAAATAAGGGATGTTTGAAGGAAAAGTAAAGTTTCACCTGTCATTGTACACACTGAATAGAGTTATCGCCCCTTCTGAATATTTTTTTGGACACTCGAGTTATTTTGTAAACTAATTTCATTTACATCGTAATATGTTTCGATGACAATCATTGCAGAAAAGGTATCTTATGTCAACTAGACTCATGGCAAAACGATAGTGCGTGGTGCAGCAAACACCACTATGAAACGTGAAACAAACATGATCGACGATCTCGAGTTCGCCAAGCCACGCGTTGACTGAGCATATTAGCAAAATACACGGACGTGTTTCATGTTATGCAGTTCATTTACAATACAAAACCTCTGTCATCACATTGTACTCATATGCCGACGAGGTTATGATAAACCAATCTATTTCTGAAATACGTATCTTAAAATGCACCTTTCGATTCACTCCCGGGATCCTGACAGCAAAATGCAAATTCCAGTGTATTACAGGCATATTTTAGTTGGACGTTAGGATTAAATGTGCAATATCTTCTGTATTAGATACAGAGGATACCATTTTTTGTTTGAAATGTCCATCAGTGAAATACGGGGACATGGAGTTCCCCTTCACAACGTGCTCTCTGTTCCCTATCAGCTGATGCGACTCACACTGCATGGCGCTATGCTCTCCAAGACTCGTTTTCGATCCAAGATGGCGAAAGTATGAAAAGGTCAATACTTAGATACTTCACCACTAGCCGATCTGCCAGAGGTGATATTGTTAGATTTTCTAGGTATATCCCTCCACTTACAAACCCCAACTTGTCCGAGCTTCAAGTCCACTGTGACAACGTTTACCTACCTCAAGGTGCTCGTTCTTGACGGCTAGACGTAAGGCCGTCCTGCCCAAGGCATCAATGCAGTCAGGGTTGAGTTCCGGATACTCAGACAGCAACTTCTTCACATTGGGAATGTCACCAAACTCCGCGGCGTGGATAAACTCTTCCTCCGCGTCCGCAAACTGAAAATTACAAAGGACTGTATATATACTCTCATACTCAGCTTGCACTGAACATGCTAAGCAGAAAAAGCGTTGGTTTGTTAGTCGCTCCGAAGACACGGGTTCGATTCCCAAAATGGAACACTTCTAAGCCAAATAGTGGTATCTCTCTCCATCATAAAGCTGCAATATTGCAAATAGTTCTGTAAAACCATACTCGCTCGTTTTTCAAGTATGGTAGAACGTCCGCCCGGAGAGCGGAAGGTCCGGGGTTTGATCCTAATATCAATCACTGGTGTGTTTGGGCCAGACGCTATTGATAACAGTGATGCGCTTGACTATTTCTGAATGCGGTGTGAAGCAATAAACAAACAAACCATATATTCCTCATGGACTGCCTGACCATTTCCTTCTGAAAACTTTGTGTACAATATTGATATGTTCCCATGCAAGATTCTATCGGGCAGTTGATGAGGCGTCGGCCTAGGGCATCGGAATAACCCAGGCTACTTTGCACAAAGGACTATTTATGCACATTGTATCTGGGGTGGACCGCCAAATGTGAATGGCCGACTACAGAGCTTTTTTGCCTTCATGTTTTCAACGTGTGGTCAAGCAGTCAATGGTCTTCTTTCAAAGTTGGAAGTTTATGTACGAGAGTGTCTGATTGATATATCAAACATGATAAATACTTGAAACTTATTCATGAAGAACCTATACTATTTTGACAAGGACACACAGTATTACACAACCCCAACGCATCTCGTTCTCCCTATGATTTTCTTACATTTCTGAACAGGGGTTTCGCATACATAGTGGTATCCTAAATTGGTCATCTGCAAACAGACTAAGTGCCTTCTACATCGGACGTTCCAGGTCAACACATTATGTGTGTCGCGATAGGGGTTGCTGTTTGGTAGTGTTGGTTAATTATGCACATTGACTTATAATTGCCGGTTTCTCATTATCACGTAAATAGATAAGTAGAGGTTGTATATTATTCATCCGCCATTTATCCACTCAATTGTGACAGCAGCCTCGAGGGACAAGAGTTCAGTCATGAATAGGGGAAGGGGATATGAGAGCAGATATCCAAGACGTTGGATGGGGAGGGGACATGAGAAGGGGTAATCAGAGATGAAGTACGAAGGAAGAATATTTGATTGGATGGGGAAGGTGTTATGGAAATAATAAGGGAGTAAAGAGAATTGGATGTGAAAGGGATATGAGGGATAAAATTGGAAGGGAGTACCATGGATTGGTTAGTGAAGGTGATTTGTAAAGGCGGTACAGGGGTGATTGGATAGGGAAGGGGATATAATGAGATGGAATGGGAAGGGAATTTGAGATATGAAGTGGGAAGGTAGTACAGGAAAATAGACGGGGAAGGGGATATGAGAAATGGGAGGGGAGTACAGGAGATCGGATGGGGAAGGGGGTATGTGACATATGACGTGGGAAGGGAATTAAGGAGATTGGATTGGGAAGGGGATATGACATATGAAGAAGGAAGAGAATAAAGGAGATTGGATGGGGAAGTGGATATAACATATGACGTGGGAAGGGAATTAAGGAGATTGGATGGTGTATGGGGATATTACATATGACGTGGGAAGGGAATAAAGGAGTTTGTATGGGGAAGGGGATGTGACATATGACGTGGGAAGGGAATTAAGGAGATTGGATGGGGAAGGGGATGTGACATATGAAGTAGGAAGAGAATAAAGGAGATTGGATTGGGAAGGGGATATGAAATATGAAGTGGGAAGAGAATAAAGACGATTGGATAGGGTAGGGGATATTACATATGACGTGGGAAGGGAATAAAGGAGTTTGGATGGGGAAGTGGATATGACATATGACGTGGGAAGGGAATAAAGGAGATCGGATGGGGAAGGGGGTATGACATATGAAGTAGGAAGAGAATAAAGGAGATTGGATGGGGAAGTGGATATGACATATGACGTGCACGTGGGAAGGGAATTAAGGAGATTGGATGGGGTATGGGGATATTACATATGACGTGGGAAGGGAATAAAGGAGTTTGGATGGGGAAGTGGATATGACATATGACGTGGGAAGGGAATAAAGGAGATCGGATGGGGAAGGGGGTATGACATATGAAGTAGGAAGAGAATAAAGGAGATTGGATGGGGAAGTGGATATGACATATGACGTGCACGTGGGAAGGGAATTAAGGAGATTGGATGGGGTATGGGGATATTACATATGACGTGGGAAGGGAATGAAGGAGATTGGATTTGGAAGGGGATATGAAATATGACGTGGGAAGGGAATTAAGGAGATTGGATTGGAAAGGGGATGTGAAATATGACGTGGGAAGGGAATAAAGGAGTTTGGATGGGGAAGGGGATGTGACATATGACGACGGAAGGGAATACAGGAGATCGGATGGGGTAGGGGATATTACATATGACGTGGGAAGGGAATAAAGAAGATTGGATGGGGTAGGTGATGTTACATATGACGTGGGAAGGGAGTTCAGGAGATTGGATGGGGAAGGGGATATGAGAGATGAACAGGGAAGGGATTTCTTGGAAGGGGATTTGGCAGGGCATTTAAATAATTTGATTTGAACGGGGTTGGTATGGTTAGAAAGGGGTGTATGGTGGAAGGAAATCGGTCAGTTAAAGAGCGTGATATTTTACATTGCATTTACGATTCTATTACATAATCGTGCTATATATGAATAATTACAAAATGAATATTAATGCCTCATACATGTGGATGATTATCACATGTTCCTACCTATACACCGTTCTCGTAGATAACACCAGGGCAATATAGCCAGGAACCAATCAATACTGATGACTTTCATCATGCTAGTTCCCCCCAAGCACAAATGAGAGCCATTAAAAAATGCCCTAGACTGTTGTTCTGTGGGTTATACCAACACTATAATAAATATACAGCAACACATGCCCTGCCTTCCGTTATTTCGGATTAATAAGCATCCACGCACAATATTACACACAGTAACTTGCTATATAGCCAACATGAACTCGCTATATTTCCTTACTAACTATCAAGCTTTGGAAATAGGAGAGTATTCGAATGTCAGTAATTGACATGGATATGAAGCTTCACACTTGTCACGGAGCACGGAGTTGATGTTTCCTGTTGTTGAAGCATGAAGCCATTTCACCCTGTCACAATGACCTCCATTTCTCATGTTAACTCTAGCGAGAGTTTGGGTTACATTGTATTTCCATATTGTAATGCGTAGTTTGTTTTAAACCAAGTGAGGCGAGGTAAAATGTATGTCGAATTGGACCAGTTGAAATTCAGGGCTAGGAAGTTCGCGTTCCAATTGCAAACAAAATTACTTTGTTAGCCTTTTCTATGACAGTATTTCGGTATTGTTTATGGAAGAAAACATGACCTGTATATATATTCCACCAATAGGATTATTTCACGCCCTCCTAAATGTAATGTTAGAATGTTTATTTCCCAAGCTCTGTTGATCAGATAAACATCTGAAACATATCAACTGACAGTACACACATATTTGTATACTACAGGTTTGTAGGATGTTGCTATTCACGTGCTTTGAACTGCTCCAAAAGATCAGGTGTATTGTTAATACATGTATATGTGGCAATGGTTACTATCAAATACAGTTATTACAACGATAGACTAAGGAAGCATGCGCCCTGTTTGATCGAAGGCTCTTCATTGTCACGTGCGTAGCTTATACGTGGAGACCTTATCCATAGGAGGCTACGCCCTTGTATTAGTTTTCTAATTGATCAGCCAAATGTAAACTAGTCTTCCAGTCGATACAGAGTTCATACAGTCTAGTTATCATATCTGCAGCAGCGCTGGACTACGTGACTAATTCCGTTCTTGTCAACGGCCTCGTCGTATACGTCCGATCTGATTACTGCAATATCTTTGACGTCAATTCTGAAGTGTTATAATGAATATCCGAATATGTGTATGTCGTATGAGCAAAGGGGAACATACGTACATACTATCTGTTACCTGCTTCATTATATTTACCTGGAAAACTGCATATTACATATTCAAGAACCAGCGATAGATATTTCGGTTGCAAATGAAATAACAAGCATTTGAAACGCGATAACAATAACATAGTAACGAATATACAGCTCTGTTTTGATAACGATGTACATGGAAATGAAACCAGTAAAAAGTGATTTATACTTACAATTGTATTAAAACAAGATAAATAGATATGGGTAGTTCTAGATATTGATATATACATATAGTAATAATTAAATAAGTGGAAAAAGATCGAACACAGTCTTTATTGGCTTTATTTCATCTCGTACCACGTATGAGTCTCATCAGGCCAATCTCCGGATGAGACTCTACGTGGTACGAGTTGAAAGCGCCAGCCAATAAAGACTGTGTTCAATCTTACTCCACTTATTTAATTATATGTATATAGACCTGTCCACATCTATTAATCTCGTGTTAATATAATTGTGAGTACATTGTATGTGTGCACAACACACATCTTAATCGGGGTAGCGTGTTTCCATACTGTGTTTTCAAAAGACAACAATTTATATATTACTTTCAAACTGCTGTAATGTAAAATGTGGAATTTGAATCCTCCTGACCTATAAACACGAATTTCGGTACAAGGTCGGTAAATTTGAGTTTAAAATCGCGAATGTTTATTGCATGAATATTTCTGTGACTAATTGATTTAACACGTGTGTCCTAAACAGTGATACATTCATCTAGAATATCATAAACCGTAGATTGTCGAATACAGAAGACTGGGCCTCTTTCTGTCACGTTTAACCGATCCCTAGATGAAAAATACAAACATGACAAAGTGTAATACAAATCTGTATCTAAAAAAATCACTTTGTCAGATTGAAAAATAACTTGAATTCGATGAACATCACGGCATAAAACAGTTCATTACCCAGGAGGAAACTGTTTTTTGCCCTTTTCCATTAAGAACATTTCACACAGTTATTGACACGGTTTACGCACTTTATCTCTTAATGGCAATGCTTATCTCCCTGCGCTTATCTCTCTGTGAAATACAAACATTGCATTGAGAACGACGTAATTACACAGTTGACACTGCATAGAGTGAACACGAGGCACTGTTGATTAAAACGTTTTGCAGGTACAAAAAAAACCTCTTGAAAGTAAAAGCGAAAGCAGTATATGCTACGTACGTGTTTGTTCTTCATCAGTGAATACTAAGTAAGCGTATACGCTGTTTCAGTATTGGGTTTTGCTTTCAATTTTAAACATATTGGACTGTACACTCGAATTGCGAGTGCTTTAATCTATATATGATGATATGTTTACACAAAGGGTGATTAATAGTTTATTCCTTCTTTTAACACATTGTAATATATAACATCCACGACCAATATGACCATACGGTCAAAATGTTAAACTGAACTATCCAATAACCAATTTAACGCGCAACCGACCCGCATGTTAACCGCTTGTTACGACAAGCATGAACACTGGTCATCAAGTGGAATCACCACAAGGTACATAAACATGGATTGTATTTTGAATTCTGTTGTGAGATGAGGTGAAACTGGAATAAGGGCCACATCAGCAATCTCGCAGATATTCGCGGCAAGGAAAATGGGTTTAACGTCGGGTTCAAGATTATTGTATTCACTTAGCAACGTGCATGCACATGTGTGGCTGCTTGTATCTCTGGATATCTCACAGTATGTTGACTGTTCGCGTTTTGTCTTCTTAACGTCAAGCCCTAAGCAGGGTTACCAGAACCACCTTTTAAAGTAGTTTAATATGACGCAACCAGGGAATCAAACCACCGACTTTCCGTACTCCGTGAAGACGTTCTCTCTACTAAATCACGGAGGCGGTCTGCGTCGTCTTAAAAAACATATAACGTAATTTGCAGAGTAACTGGATGAGGGCTCGATATGTAATAAGTCTTTGAGCAAACACAATGTTAACTATGATAATAACGGCAGTAAGCTTTAAGATGATATGTCATGTTATAACCTACCAATATTCAATCTTATAATTTTTCAATTTCTTTATTCAACGTACTGAGGAGGCCACATGCCTATAGTACAATCATGATTACAGGAGCAATTGGTACAATCATATAAGTTCCAAACTTGATTTTCTTTGTATAAAAGCATGATATATGTACATAGAAAGATTTCTTATGGTTTCGATGTTGCTAGTGGTCAGTAATAGTTTAAACTGAAATGTACAATGGTTTATATGAAAATATTTTGGTAAATATACTTTTCTTAGTTCATCATAATGCGGACATACTAGTAAAAAGTGATACTCGTCCTCAATTAATCCTAGGTCACATAGTGGACAGAGTCTATTTTCTCTCGGAATATTTTGATATCTACCTTTTTCAATTAAAAGATCGTGTGATGAACATCGGAACCTTGCAAGTGCTACCCTAAATTTTCTAAGGCTAACACTGAAAAGGTATTGCTCTGCAATGATATATGACTTGAAACTGCTATATAACAGGGACTTTGGTGAACGCGTTAGAGTTGTATTCCATGACTGAAAATATAAATCTTTTAATCTTTGTGTTATAGCATTAAGGAACAACTTCGGATAAGCAATATGTTCAAATTTAAAACTGTAACCAAAACCACAATTATTCAGCAGGTTCCTTAAGTCGGTTACCCAATTTGTTTTGCCATTGCTATCATACAAACACATCATATTGTAACATTTCTTAGGGAATCTTGAGGAGGGCATATTAAGAAGTCTTATCCAATATTTTATTATTTTCAGACGTGCTTCTATACACAAAGGGACTCGTCCACATTCACCATAAACCATCACGTTTGGGGTATTCATTTTAACTCCTAAATATTTCTTACAAGCATATAAATGAACTTTTTCCAGAGCATCTATTTGTGTAAATCCCCAAATTTCTGCCCCATATAAAAGAATGGGTTTAATTTTCGTGTCAAATATTTTGAAGTATATTCTATAGTTTACAGCCCCAACATTTTTTAAACTACTGAACATGCCCAACAATATTTTCTTTCCCTGTACAGCAGCATTATTTCCGTGTGTATTCCATGCCAACGTATTGGAAAAATACACACCTAAATATTTATAACCCTTAACTACTTCTAAACACTGACCTTTAAATAACCACTTTTCAAACCTTGATAATTTGCCACCTTTTTTGAAAACAACGATTTTTGTCTTATCTGTATTAATTTTAAATTAAACTTATCACAATGAACTTCTAATTCTGCTATTTGATTCTGCAATCCTTTCACCGTACTAGAAAACATGATAATGTCATCAGCAAATAACAGAAGGAAAAGCTTGACAATGTCTGGATGAAGCTGTATACCATCTGTACAGTTCTGGTGAACAGCTGCAGCTAGTTCATTAATAAAGAAGACAAACAAAAAAGGGCTAAGTATACATCCCTGGCGTACACCAATCTTATAATGTAGAATAATATTGAAAACATGTACTACTAAAAAAGTGACTGTAAAAACGATAGTAGAATTGGGAAATATAATAACAGGGTGGCACATAAATATAGTAGTGTAAAGTTACATAGCAAAACATCGGAATAACCACATTTCAAATGCGTTGTAATGAGTACTGTAATTAATGATAGTTATACTTTGAATTGAAAGCAAAAGCCCTGGAAATTTACAGCAATGAATGTATCAAAACGCTAGAAACGTTTACAAAAAATGATACTCACCGTTTTTGCTGATTCCTGAGAGGCGTTGGAGATGAAACTGTGACGATACGAGCCTCCTCGACGGCGCCATTTTCCTCGGCCACTCAAAGGCATGTCCACCTTAATACGAGAAATAACTCCTATCATATTTGTTACGGGCGGGTTTTTTCGATTCATTTTGAAAATGAATGAATCTTGACACAATATTTAAGCACCTATTCAGCAAAGATATCCAATCAAACACCTATTCAACTGAATTCTATAAAAACAAATATGTTCTCCGGAAAGGCACTGATCTATGTTCTGTTGCCTGTCTCCGAAAGCAGGTTGGATGGTTCGTCGTGATATGGCGTGCTCTGTAACATTTTGTTAAATATGTCCATTCGTATCATATCATCCTCTGCATTAAGTTGTCCACAGATGCTTAACCCTGTCGCAATAAGCTACACAACTGAAACAGGCGGCAACTCGTGGACTTTAATGGCCTCTAGCCATGCGTGGACAACAATGCAAAGCCTGGTCATTAATCATATCCTGAAGGAGATGGTCAATAGCACCGCCCGGCGTCATGGGCGCACTGATGCAACGGCAATGAATCCACGAGGTTCAATGAGTAATGCCTTTCATTACCAAACCTGATGGCATTGTTAAGGTGCTCATCAAAACAAGTAAAGCATCAAAACACTTTCATCAACTGACAGGGATACTCTATCGGTGTTTTGCATTCAAACGGTTCGTTATTGGGCGTGTGACTGTTGTGAAGGTGCAATTACTTCATCTGTATGATGTATCATTTGACCACGGTAGGGAAGATGTTTGCAATACCCTGACCTCAGATCTAGCATGGAAGTAACACGGCATATATTGATTTCGATCGCGTTGACTCACTTAACACCGAACGGAATAAATCAATTGCTTTTTCATAAAGGCCGAGCCACTAATTACGTTCACGAAAAGTCATTACAAGAACAACATGGTATGGAATAACGAAGACAACAGCGTCACGTTACCTGCTCGTCCGTAACGTTCTGTCCGTTACCTGTTGACTTCAACATTTCCCTCGAAAGGTCTATAATGTTCAACCTCGCCGTCACGTCTCATCTGATGTAGACGTGCATATGATATGCACAACTCTCAGCTGATCACACTAACAATATGTGGGCTCAAGGTTGTATCAACAATGGTCGATTAACAAGCTCACATCACTACATATATCTAGTTAACGTTACTCCTGTTATTAATTAATCAGGGTCATGGTGAAGATTGAAGTCAATGGTTGACAGCCCTGTCGAGATGCTACACTTCATTATAAGGTATTTGATTTACAACTTTAGTTGGTGGATTTCTTCCGTCAATCAAACAAATAATGCCATGTATCTGTTTTATTTTTTACACATGTTTCACGGACACTAGATTTTATCTCATTGTAATATCGAAGTCATTATCAACTGGAAATTGATCATGAAGGTTCACAGATCATCATTACAAGACCAGTGACTCACGTTGTGTCACTTCCGTCATGACGCCTGTACCTCACAGAATTGTAGCGACTTATACCCTTTTATTAAAAAGCGACATGTATATTAGTATCTAGCAATGTGCTCTTACTGTGAAAAGGAAAGAGAAAATATAACACATCTCTGCAAAAAAAGACAAATCAAATTTGGAAGCAAACTTCACAGAAGAAAACAGTTTTGGGGAGAAAACACGTGACGACGTTTTACTGCATATCGTGTGTTTAAGGCGAAAACACGAATTCGATTCCATGCATAGGGATAATGCGTGAAATCCATTTCCGATGAATAGTGCTGAACTATTAATTGCAAAAGCGATGTAAAACAAACTGACTCACTCTTAACTTTATAACAACAGTAAAAGGTGTAATCTGTTTGATACAGGACAAATTACCAGCAGTCCCTGCTTTGACCAAAGACGTTATCAATACATATCATATGGAATAATACACGGTATTCGAACCAATTCAGACTGTTTGGTCTCTGTGACACCTTTTGTTTCAGTAACATAAATCAAAATACTTAAATCTATTGTCCATGTCTGTGAGCGTACTTTTAAACTGTACCCTGATTGATGCGGAAGTGAAGTTGTCACAACAGATCAACATACATCCCTGTCCCCGACTACAGTAATCATCTACTGGTCCACAATCTCGGTACATCATCTACTGGTCCACAATCACGGTACATCATCTACTTGTCTGAAATCTCGGTACATCATCTTCTGGTCCACAATCTCGGTACATCATCTACTGGTCCACGACCTCGGCACATCATCTACTGGTCCACAATCTCGGTACATCATCTACTGGTCCACAATCACGGTACATCAACACCCTGTCCCCGACCACGGTACATTCTCTCCCTGTCACCGGCCACGGTCCATATCTCCCTGTCCCCGACCACGGTACATCCTCTCCCTGTCACCGGCCACGGTCCATATCTCCCTGTCCCCGACCACGGTACATCCTCTCCCTGTCCCCGACCACGGTACATCCTCTCCCTGTCCCCGACCACGGTACATTCTCTCCCTGTCCCCGACCACGGTACATAATCTCCCTGTCTTCGACCACGGTACATCATCTCCCTGGCCCCGACCACGGTACATTATCTCCCTGTCCCCGACCACGGTACATCCTCTCCCTGTCCCCGACCACGGTACATCCTCTCCCTGTCTCCGACCACGGTACAAAATCTCCCTGTACCCGACCACGGTACAAAATCTCCCTGTACCCGACCACGGTACATACTCTCCCTGTCTCCGACCACGGTACATCCTCTCCCTGTCCAAAACCACGTCACACCATCTCCAAAGTTCACTTCTTATGTGTATTTCAACATCGTTCATATTTGTGTTAATGTTCTGTAACAAGTACATGCATATGTTCAGTTAATTATGTATAGTATAGATAGCATAAGGTGGTGACTTTGAGGTGAAGACATGTATCTACACTGTTTATGTTTGAAGGGAACGTATAACCACGTATAACAACTTTTATCTGCATAATATAATCATTATACCCATTCATATTTCGGAAGAGCTAATATTTGGCGTCAACTCTAAATTTCCAAGATAGCCGACAAGATCATTATTTGGACTTTGCAAACAACACAAACATAGGACTAAAAATTGAGAGTCATTGTTGATGCATAAGTAATTGTAATTCATTATTTTGTCTCGTTGAATCTACCATACGTATAATTCGAGTCAAGAAGGAATTATGTAATATTATGGATAAAATAAAAATCCGAACACCGAAAAGCCATGATTATAATGATGAAATAATGAAGACAAAAAAATGCAACTTTATGAGTTCGGAGATAATTCTTTAAATTTGAATTCTTAGATATAAGTGACAAAACCCTTTCTTTCAGTCATTGTACGATTCCGAATATATCATGAGCATGTGTTTATACCTTTATGAATCACCATAAGATGATAAATAAACACTCTTAAAAAAAGAAACACGCAGGTAGTATGTAGTTCGTTGAACCTGACTACACAAAAATCCGGTATATAAATTGGATACTGCAAATCGAAAAATGAATGCGTCTCTAAAAGAATGCCACCGCTGGCCCCTAGCCAAAAATACGACTCGATATGAACGCGACACCCCCTCCTCTCAAGCATCAGTGGATTTATATCTAAAGAATATGTCCTCTGTCAGTTTTACAGGAGAAACCTCACCTTAATCCAACCTTACATTAATCTAGTCACACACCAAAGAGCACCGCTTATTAGCGCTGAGTAGAGTACTTCCGCTAAAACAATACATGCCCGCTGGCTCGTGTCGGCCTTTGACGCTGTCGCAGTATATGTTATTGGAAAATGTTGGTGGCCTGATAGTCGACAAACGGTGCGTCAAAACCATTGTCGATTTGCAATGTCTTAAACGGCATTGCTTTCACACTTGTTAAAAAAATGTCATGGAGGAAAACAGTAAAGCAAAATGCACGTGCAAATTATGGCATTCGTAACTCGTGGTAGTGGCTTTTAAAAGGCAAGTATAAGCCAATAATTTGTCATTCAATTGACAACATTTTTCAAGTGCGAAAATGCCGAGACTCAGCGCTGCCGATCGAAACATCGCCATAGGTCGTATCCAAAGAGGGGAATCGCAGTCTTCTGTTGCACGCCTCTTCAACGTCCACCACAGTACCATTTGCCGCCTTTGTGGCCGATACACACAGTTCAATTCCACTGCAGACCGTCCGAGAACCGGCCGACCAAGAGTAACCACCCCTGCACATGCAGGATCGCTTCATTCGAATGTTCCACCTACGTCATCGCAATGCCACAGCTACGGACACTGCAGGACGCATCCCTGGTTCGAGGAAGATATCGGACCATACTGTCAGGAACCATCTTCGCGAGGCTGGAATCCGACCCAGAAGACCGGTTATCGTCCCTGTTTTGCAACAGATCCATCAACAGCGACGCTTGCGTTGGTACCCCCCAGCTTTGGAATTTGAGAAACTTGAGTCGAGTGTGGTTTAGCGATGAATCATGATTTCGTCTTCGGCGGCGAGATGGAAGACAACGTGTTTATCGCCGTCGAAATGAGCGTTTTGCCCCTCATTGTGTACGTGAATTCGACAAATTCGGTTGCGGTAGTGTCATGGTGTTTGGGGCCATATCCTACACCACGAGATCTGACTTGGTTATGGTTCAGGGAAATTTGACAGCAAATCGCTACATGAATCAAATTCTTCAAGCTCACCTTCTTCCAATTATTGACCGCCAGAGGGAGCTGATTCATCAGGACAACGCTCCACCGCACACAGCTCGTGTCACGGTAGACTACCTTCATAATGCCAACATCAACGCCTTGCCCTGGCCCTTGCCCTCTCCAGATCTCAACCCAATCGAACACCTCTGGGATGAACTCAATCGACGTGTACGTCATGTCATGAACGTCAGAACATGCCGCAGACACTCCCACAAGTGGCCAATGCTTTACAAGGAAAATGGCGCAGAATTCCGCAAGCCAGAATTCGTACACTCATCTAGTCAGTGCCGAGGGGATGCAGAGCCGTGATTGCTGCCCGGGGCGATCACACGAGAGTTCAGCGCAACCTTGTGGTCTTATGTGACATGACAATGAA